TCCATTTTGTTCGAAAACACAAACATTTTCCTAGCAGAAATTTACTAGTAATTTCCTAGTAATTTACTGGATAACTTTCCATTTGCTACTTGCTATTTACTGGTCAAAATCCAAGTTCAAATCATCGCCAAAGACCCGCATTTTCACTTGCTAATTGACTAGTCAATTCGGTTACAATTTAACTAGTAATTTACTAGCAAATTTATGAAAAAAATAAAAGACTTAATTTAATTAAGTCGAACACTTATGAACGCTTATGACTCGCACGCAAACCTGAGGAAGATAAATAATTAATTGAAAGTCACATACAAATTTGAATCGACCTTATAAAGGTGATTTCTGCGCGCTCTTGTGAAGTATATGGCAAATGCCAAATTTAAAACAAAATTTTTTATGACGCAAAAAATTCTTTATTTGATGATTTTTGGTAGGATTCAAACTTAAGCAGATTTGATCAAACATTTCACGTGGTAATTTGCTAGTAATTTGCTATTAAATAATAAGTGTAATTTACTAATAGTAAGTTGTTTTAATAATAACTAGTAAATTGCAAGTAGTAGAATAGAAAGACTAGCAATTCGCTAGTTAGTCTCGCTAGGGTTTTGTTACTTCTGATTAGAAACATAAACTGAGAATGTATTTGTATTTGTTTTACAAACTTACTATTTGAAATGCACCTGAATATATATTTTCAAGGCCTTAGGCCTTAGGACCCATAGAAATTTAAGCTAGTCAAAGTTTCACACATTAAAATAAATGTTGAAAATAGAAAATTAAATTACGATTGAATGAAAAATGCTGTTAGAAAGTCTATGGAGGAAAATAATTGAATCCCTTTAAATCTAAAAAATTAAATCCTTTTAAGTCTTCAGAAATGTTAATAAATGTGATATTTGTGGACAATTGAAACTTTTACAAATTATGCGTCATTTTTTTCTCGCCCCTCTACCCCTCGCAATTGAATTGATTTTTTTAATTCTTATGATTATTATTTTTTGTTCCTTAATAATGTTTAACCCTTGAAAAAACTGGACACTTTTTTTGCACGCAGAAACAAATGCATCATATAAAAAAATATTATAAAGAATCGTACGGCATTGTAGTTATTTTTTCTTTAATATTAATATTTTTTTAAGTTTCATTTTTTTTTTTCATGTTAGAAGTTGAACTTTTGCTCTTCAAAAATATTCATTCAAATTAATTGAATTTGAAAAATGTGTGCGATTTACAAACGGTACTTAATATTTCACCTTTTTTTTTATTTCTTATCATAATCATTTTTGTTTTCTTCTAATAAATACCGTTTTTTACTTTATCATTAATTTATTATTTATTTATTATTATTATTTGATTTTTATAAAAAGCCTTAAATATAAGCGATGTCGTATTCTTATTATTCATTTTCTTTTCTTTTTGTTATTTTTTTTTAATAATTTACATGTGTTTAGATTTTTTTTTGAGTAAGGTGAAAATAAACTTTATTTTTTTTTTGGTAAGCGAATCGAAAGCTTTTTAAGGTTGAGGATGTCTTTAGATATGTAATATTATCTAATAAAATAAAACCTCAAACTGATCAACATATTATTCAAATATTGATCCGTATATTCAACTAGAAATTTACTCAATTGATGAATTTGTCTATTTTGAATGCTACACAAATGAAAAGTAGTTCATTTCATAAAAGAATTCCTTAATTGTTAACCCTGTGACAGATTTAGTCTAAAATTGGGAAGAGAATATATTAATTTAGATAAAATCGTATCCAGAGTTCATTTTTTGCTTTGCAGACTTAATCACATATTTATTTGATTTAAAAATTATCTAAACATAAAGGAAATAAGCAAAGGTTAGCTAACCTTTTAATTTTTTGTTAAATATTATTTTAACACAGAATACTTTTTCTACATTTTACTTTGTAATTGATAGCATTCAACTTAGGAACTGAAGAATGACAGCTGATTGTCAAAATTGTTAAGCTTTCAATATATCTAAAGACATTGCCTCGAACTTTGAAAATTTCCTCACAAAAAGCTTTCAATTCTTAAATTTGAAACTCAATTTTTTCACATTGTAATATTTTCAAAACCAATTTTTTTAAGGACAAAGATTGTTTTTTTTTTTAATCTTAAAATGCTCATCAAATTTCACACATTTTTGCTTCATAATTTTTTTGATGCTTAATATTTGTTTTTTTTGTTCAAATATTGATTTAGAAAAAAACGGTGACCTATAATTAATAATTTATATCATAATTTTTTTAAAGCTTTAATTTTGTTTTTTCATGGTTTTATTAAAATTTATTACATTTAATAAGATCTTAAATTTAAATAAATTAATGATACCTTTCCACCTCAGTTTTTTATATAACACATTTCATTATTCTTCGTTGATCAATCCTCACCTCATCAAACTACTGCTCATCTCTCGTTGATGTTGCTTTGTGCACATCGCGTATCACGTGTGATGATCCACTCAAGTTCCGCGTATTTTCTTATTTTCCACTCGATTTTCGACGTTTTTTTTTAAGTTTTTGTTTCATTTAAAATTGTTTTAAAAATAGGGCATTTTGATAAGCAAAAAAGCATCATTAATAAATTTAAACTGCCTCAAATTTTTTATCCTTTTTTGTATATTACATAACAATAAAGCGAAACAAATAAAAAATTATTGCGTATTTTGAGTGTGAGTGAGTGATATTATTCATTTAGTTATTTTTTTAACGTTAATTACTCTCATCATGTGTGTCTTTTTTTCATTTTTTTTTTTTTTGATTGGTTATTCCTTATTATTTTTTTTTCATTTGTTCATTTCAATGTTTATTTAGCTAAAGTCTTTAAATTATTCTACTGGCGATATTTTTCATTGTCCTTTCACTTAATAGTAAATTGTTTAATAGTTTATCATTCAACTTTCACGCGAAATATTGTTGGTTCCTTAAACTTATTATTTTTTTTTCTTCACTTAAATCACTTATTTTTTCATAATTCTGTTTATTGTTCTTCTCAATTTATGTTTTTTTTTTATATCATCACTACACTGTTATTATTCATAGTTTTTCTGTTACTTTATAATGTCCACTAAGTGTCATTTATTTTTGTCTTTCTCAACTTGGCTTGTTTTTACTCCACCGTTGGTTTAAAATTTTCTCATATTCGCTTTGCAATTGTAAAATATATTCTGATATTGTTTCATAGAAAAATAAGACAATTTTATTTTTGAACATTTTTTTTTGTGTGTAGTCGTAGATAAACGGAAAGCAGAGAGTAATCAATACGCAATTAATAATTTTTAAAAATGTATTTTCAATATATGAGTAAAAAGATTGATGTCGCCGTGGATAATAGTCGGATGTGAAGAAGAAGTAGAAGAGTTAGAGTAGTAGTAAAGGTCCCAGCACCAATTTTGAAATTTGAAATAAGAAGAAAAAAAAAGAAAGAACAGAAATTAAACGACGAACTCAAGTGATTACAGCGATTTATTAAGATTTTGATTTGTCCTATGTTAATTGATTAGTTTTTTAAATTAAATTTTGTCAAATTTTAAATAGCAAAGTTTGTGGGGGTGAGAAGACTCAAATATTTTTTTTATCTTAAAAAATTTTTCTTCTTATATCATTTAGACTAATTTATTTTATATTTAAATTTTTTAAAATCTTTTTATATTAGGAAAAATTGAAATTGCCTAGATAGATGCTTATCTCAAAAATAATCTTTCTTTTTTTATATCTTTTTTTACACCTATCAAATCTCTAAAATTTATTTATTTGTTTTATCGATTATTTAGTATTGCAAATTCTTCTTTTGTTATCTTATTATTGATGAAAGAAATTATAAAATAAAATCGCAACTGAAGAATAAATTAATTAAAATTAAAGTTAAAGGAATTAGACGAGTTGACAATCGATGGAGTTTTACTTTTCACTACTTGGTGAATGGATCAAATTTTAATTGATTCTTTAAACTTCATCAATAATTCTAATCTTAATTTTATTTAAACATATTTTATTTTAATTAAAATTTGAGATATTCAGCATCTCTGCAACACTTTAATGGAAATGGCATAGTTATATTAAAATTTAAACATCTAAGAATTGAAGGCTTTATTTGAGAGTTTTTAAATGAAATGATATGCGAATGTGCTTTTTGATGAATGACTTGAAGCTATTAATGGTAAAACCAGCGAGAATTTAATATTTTCGTTAAACATTTCTTAATTTTGATTGAATTTGATTCTTTTATTCGAATTAAAACTCCATTGATTGTCAACTAAAGTCAACTAAAAAGTTAATAAACAAAAGGAAATCAAGGTAACAAATTTTTTGCACTTTTCTCGAATTGCTTTTATCTCCTATTAAATCGTGACTGTTGAAATAATAATTTAAAACATAAATTAAGAAACTTTCAACTTCAAATAAACCTAAAATTAATTGAACAAAATATAAATTTGTAAATTATACAAGTATATTGAGTAAGAAAAATTCTTAATATTTGATCTTTAATAATTATAATAATAAGATATAGAATTACTTTTTAGATGCTTAGTAGTTAATTGTTGCTTAAAGGTAGCAGGTAGTCTAATTTTAATGGCAGTCGGCATTCCATTTTTTTATAATTGTTATTATTACATTTTTATGGTATATATACTTTTTTTTTGAGAGTATTACTAAATGAAATCGGTGATTCAGTTGAAATCTCATCTATCGGTCGGTAAGCTCATAATGATTTTAGTTTGGGGTATTTTTCTGGTTTGCTTTACTGACACAAGTTATATCGATGATGATTTTTTTTGCAGTGATAGTAATAAGTTTTTTTATTATTAAATGCAGGATTTTCAAAGCATTCATTTTGCGTATATATATAGAATGTTCAAAAGGTTGATTCATTTTTTATAGATTTTTTTTTAAATTAATTTAAAATTCTTTGTTAATCATACGTATAAAAATGCAACTAAAGATTACTATGAATTAATTATCAAAAATTTACAACCAAACGATTTTTTTGTCACGATTGATTTTTAAAAAAAATTAACAATGATAGTATAGAGTCGATTTTAGAGGCTTGCGGCTTGCAGCTAGCGAGTTATCAATTTCAATTGATATTTGTTTTGTCTTCTTAAACAAAATTATGCGCTTAAGATAACTAAGTGAAATGAAACTTATAAAATGAACTAATAAATATAAGAAATGAACAAAATCAAATAAAGAAATTGAAATAAATCAGAAAATTAAATGAATGGAAAAAAGTAAACGAAAGAGAAAATTTGCGCGAATCATAAAACTTTGCAGATTGATTTGTTTTAGAGAATTATTATTAAAGTTATTATAAGTTTCATATTATAGTTGTAAATGTCTATGTTTTTTTTTGGTTTGTTATAAAAATTTATTTCTGCCGTGCGTTTCTATCATCACATATCATTTCATTTTAATTTTTTTAGATTAGATTTTTGTTGAGATGTTGATTTTAGAGATTGATTAATTTCATCTAAAACTTCAATAGAGAGAGGGGGGCGAGGCATGCCTCAAACATCGGCCGATCGCGATGTAATGCTTGGTGAACGTGAATGAATCACCACACGATGTCCATTCTTTGTGACAAAGCCATCACTCTCAACTAACACTGCCGTTTGTCGGCCTAATTTCTCACTGCTACCTATGGTATCTTTCGGTGAGGTTTTACCATTATCACTAACTGCATTATTATTATTATTTGATTGATTATTAAGTTTATCATTAATTGAATTATTTGTTAAAGAACGTCTACCTAAACCCTCACCCCCCATTATCTCATTATGTGAATGTGAACTACCTAAGCCAGCTCCACTTGCGCCACCTTCATGCTCATCACCCGTCTCATTCTCATCACCCGTACCATCATGTCCATCATCTTTGTGCTGTTTGTGCTTGCGCCAAGCATGTTGTATTAGTCGAGCGCAGTACTCTTCACGTTGACGCCATAATGTTGAGGATACGGGTTCATAGCCGATTTCATCTGGACGCTGATTAATGCCTTCAATATCGCCCGTCTCCTCAATCGGATTGCCTTTACGTGCAAAGAAGTCTTTTGTTAAAGCATCCAATATATCGACACAAAACATCATATCGCCACGACATATCGGTATGTCCATTGATATTATTTTATATTTATTTGGTTTATGTATTTGTAACGGTGGCTCGAGTACATCTAAGAACTCTGATAATTGATCATAGCGAATATATTGTGTACCATCGGGATCAAATTGCTGCCATATTTCATAATACATATCATAATCATCATCCGTCAGACCCTCTTGTACATCTTCTGTCGCCTGCGAATAATTCTCCAAAATCACAGCGATGTACATGTTGATTACAATTAAGAAGCTAATAACAAGATATGTCAACATAAATGTAATGCCAACTGTTGCCGAACCACAATTGCCAGGAAAGCCTATTTCCGGGTTCGGTAGGTCGCATTCTTCCTCATTTATAATACCATCCAGTACACCATCCCATCCAGCTGATGTTGACATCTAAATATTTACAGTAATAACGATTATGACGTTAAAAATGATTGATAAATTTGACGTTCCGAAAGAGAAAAGGAAAGAGAAAAAAATGTTAGTAAATTATTCTTAAAATTAGCAACACTTTGACAGAGTTCACATCCAATAAAGAATAGAGTATGTATAGACCAAACGACAAAAAAATTCATGTGGAAGCTTAGTGGAGGACTCTTAGCAACAACTGAGCTGCCATTGAATTATTTGTGTCGTTCAGAAAGAAAGATGCTTGGAAATTATAAATCATAAATCACACATATTTGTTATCATCGCTGGTTCATAGTCATAGATCCAGATATGGCATGATAAGATCAGATAATGCTCTCAAAAAGGCTGGAACATTATCATTAAAATAATAATGGTTACAGGCGAAAAACAGCAAACAAATTTTAACAACAACACTCAATAAGTTTTACAACAGCAAATATTTAAGCATGTCACACAATTTTTTTGGTTATTTTTTTTGGGGTGCTTACTTGAAACAGCAAAATCATACTCTGTCCGAACGTTTCAAAATTGTAAACATCATCGATGCCACTCTTTTTCTTGACGTGCATGAAGAAGGACATACCGAATATGGCAAAGATAAACATGACTAAAAAGAGTAGTAGACAGATATTGAACAAGGCTGGCAATGACATGGCCAATGCGAATAATAATGTTCGAATTCCTTTTGCTCCTTTGACGAGACGCAATACACGACCTACTTTGGCGACTCGGACGACACGCAATAATGTTGGCGATACAAAATATTTTTCAATTAAATCACTCAATACCAAACCTAAAGATTATGGAAGATTTTTCATTCGACGTTATAAGAAAATGATATATTTTTTTTTTTCATGGTTGTCGAAGGAAATTTTTGATGTAATTTTTTTTAATGGATGCAATTATGAATGAAGGTGGAGATTAAGATGCAATATGAGATTTATATACAATATTGTCAAGTGGAAAAGTATTTTTAATATGGATGTTATGTAATGTCATGTATAGTTTGGTTTATGTATGTTTATAAATATATCAAAATGTGGATAGTGTTTCAAAGAGAGAGAGAGTAGTTTGTGTAGTTATGTTGTGTTGCGGACAAAATGTTAAAGTTTTGTAGATGTAATGTTGTTTCAGTTGTTGTATAAATGTATCAGTATAAATTGTTGAGTAAAGTTGAGTTGTTCATATTCGGAGTATCAAAAGTTTATATTGGTAGATAATTTTTTTTGTAAATGGCGATAATAACGATCATTATATGAAAATAGAGAAAAAGAAAAAGAAAAGATGATTAGTTAGTATCAGTATATTCGCACTTGAGTATCAGCAAATCGTATGGAATTGGGTATATCTATGTCTTACGTACTTAATATGGAAAGTACTACAACGACAACATCAAACAAATTCCATGGTTCAACGAAATAATGATATCTAAGTGCGAAAATTTTCATCAAACACTCGGTACTAAATATGGCGATGAATATCATGTTCAAATAATCTAGAATGAGTGTGAAGATTTCGCTCTGTTGGTAGTGATCAAGTGTCATTGTTAACATATTCAGACCAATGAATAACATAATGATCATGTCGAATTTCTTATTTGTAACTAATTCAAAAACTATTGCTTGTGGACGCCACTGTAAAAAGAAAGGAATAAAAGAGAAATGGGAAAATTTATGATTATTATTAAGTTCAATTAAAAGTTTCTTTAAACAAAAGCTTGTAAAATTGATAAATTTCTTCAAAAATTCAGTTGAATTTTATCAATTTTTTGCACAACATTTAAATATACTGAGAAATTTCAACACTTTTTGGTTATTTTAGAATTTAATAATTATTACTCAATCAATTGCCTGTTTAAAATGAAGGAAAAAGTCAAGCGACGAAAATGCTTTGACCATAATGGCTGACAGTGATTGTGAATGATTGAAGATTGATCAAAGAATTTTTATCGCATGAAAAAGTTTTCATTACTTTGGGTTTCTTTCATTTTTGGTCAATATTGAGCATGTCCTTTATAAGATCAATGAATTTAAATAACCAAATATCATTAAAAGTTCTCAACATAATATTCAACAATTAACACTTGCAAACTATTCTAATTTCAACAAAAGATCAGGGGACAAACGAAGGAATGTCTGAAAATTCTTCAAAATCTGCAGTTCTTTTATGTGTTATTACTAAGTTGCATTTCTTTTACTTTATAACACACGTGTTATCATGCTTTTCTGTGAGTTTGTACGTTTTTTGTTTATCAAGTTCAAAAAAGTGTGAAAACTTTGTGCAAACTTTTGTCAAAAAAGTTGAACTTCGTCTCTACCCCATAACTATTTACAAATTTATTGATAGTAACAAAATAGAAAATCAGATTAAGTATTTAAAGAAAATTCTACAAAAGATAATGAATTAACTTCTAGGAAAAGTCTATGAAAATTTTTATAGAACGACCTTATTTTAGTCTTTCGAAAAAAAATGTGATAAACCTTGAGTAGAAATCCACAATAGCACACATTTTGTGAGTGAAAACAGATTTTAAAATGTGCCTCAAAAAGTTTATTATTTAAATTCGTATTCTATTCTAAAAAGTTCTTTCAATTCTACTTTTGATACTGTTTTGTTCTTTTTGTACATTTAGTTTTTTTACATCCAATCACATCCAAAGCCACACAGAAAGGATTTTAACTTACTCTTGGTCTAGGAATGGCTTTCATTGGTTTTTTTGAACCCATTTTCTTCATCGCATTGTAATATTTCTTTTGATCCTCAGTCATAAACATCTCAAGTGATCCACCAGCTTTCTTCTTCTGTTCATTAAAATTGTCAATAATGACACCAATGAAGAGATTTAGTGTGAAGAATGAACCGAAGATGATGAAGAACACAAAGTAGAGATACATGTAGATATTTGTTTCTCGAAGTGGTTGTATATCGACCTATTTTTGATTGATCAGGAATCGTTAGAAAAATTTTCTGAATTTTTATATTAAATCTAATTGGACTAGGGTTTCTGAATAACGGCTGTTTCCGTTTATTTTTTTCAAGAAACGACCGTTAACAGGTCCGTTCTTTTAATGCTATTAAAACCGTGCTTAATGCACGATTTATCAGATATACTAAAATTTTGCTTTTGCATATACTCCAGTTCAAGACTTTCTAAATTTTATCTTTTTTAAAAACATTTTCTGATACATACATGTACCTAAATTTTAATGCTTGACAAGTTTATTAGGGACCAAAAAAAATTATTTGATAGTTTTTAAACAAAACTTTTTTTTTTGGAAATTTTCTTTGGAACAAAAACGGAACAACGGTTAGAAAATCGTCCGTTTTCGGTCATAATTGTTCGCTGAAAAACGGTTTTTATTTTTCTCATTGTCGTTAACGGCTTCAGAAATCCAATTATTGAGATAACAAATACAATAGGAATCTTAAAACTCTATTTATTCGATACTTACATCTATTGAATCGATAGCATCATTCATAATTTGTATCCAACCTTTAAATGTTGCTACTTGAAACAGGCACAAATACGCTTTTCCAACGTGATCAAAATTCATCGGAGAATTTTCCCAAGTGTAATTTTCCGCACTACATACATTACGATCGGGTATAATTTCTTGACTCAATGTTGTTCCGTTGCCATCGACGCACTTGAAGATTATTTTAAAACATTAGAATTTATTTTTTTAAAGTTTATCAATAGTTGAGATTACTCACCTTAAAGTATTTACCGGCAAATAATTGTACGCCCATGATTGCAAATATAAGCCAAAATATCAAACAAACTAAAAGCACATTGAAGATGGACGGTATTGCTTGTACCAATGCATTTACGACAACCTTTATAGGAAATATTGAGAAATTAGTTTTGTTATAGAAATTAGTCAATAAAATCGAACGAATAAATTAAGTTATACAAAAATCACTTGACAAACATAAATTTGGTATGATTTAAAATAAATCATAAGATTGAATAAATTAAAATCATGATAATGAGAATGTTTACAAAATATTTGAGTGAAGTATCAAATTATATGAAATATATTATTTTTTAATGTAAGCTCAGCATTTTATGACGACATGTGTAAAGCTTGATGAGAATTGATTCACTGATTGCTTGGTTTATGTGAAATAACATCAATGCATAGTATATAACTAGAACTAGGTTCGACTAATGACATTTTCTTGGGAATTGTTCCGTAAAATTTGTCATTAGTCTCTAGTTCAACTAATATAGTCTCTAGGTCGATTAATATAGTTTCTAGGTCGATTAATATAGTCTCTAGATCGATTAATGTCTCGTGTCCTATCGGTTAGGGTGCTAAGTTTAAATGAATCATATAATGAATAAATGAAAATTGTAAGGATCAATCAATAAATCACTTCATCAAAAATTTTTGAATAAAACAAAAAAAAAAATGTGAAAAGCTGCAGAAAAACTGACAAATATTGAAAGCTGCAATTACAATGCGTTTATGAGCTGATGCTGATGCAAACGTTTAACATAGTTTTATTTGAAAGGGTGAATGGTAAGCAAAACATTTTGTTTGTGATTTTTTTGTTTTTTAAATGTGAATATGTTGATTGCGAGGAACTAAAAATGAAAAAACAAAAACATAAAATTTTGTTTGACATATAATTTGTGTTTGTGGATGTGAAATTAGGATAAATATTGTTTACTATAGCATATTTAATGGAATCAATCTTTTTGATTATTTTGTTGTATTTTGATTGAATTTACAGTTCTATAGCGTTTGTAGCTCATATAATAAAATTCTTAATGTGGCTCGCATCATTTGTGAGTAAAATAAATGTTTCTATATTCTATAATATTTATGATGTTTTTAAAATAAAACTCATTAAAATAAGGTCATTAATATATGAGAAAATTAATTCAGCAAGAAAATTAATTTAATGACAATAATAATTAGAATCATAATAATGCAATCAATTTAAATAAAATATCCTGATTATCTTGAATGACAAGAAGTTACGTACCCTCATTCCCTGCATACGGGACATGGCACGTAGAGGTCTAAGTGCCCTAAGTGTACGCATTGTTTTGAAAGCTTGAATACCACCAGCTCCACATAGTGAAGCAATGAAGTTGATGAGAGATACCTAAATTTATTTATACACAAATTCATGTTTGATTTTTGGCAATATTTAAAAGTTTTGATTGCAAAATCGAGTAAAGAGTTGGTGAGTTTATTTTTATTTTAATATTAGGGAAGAAAGAAGAAAAAGTAAAAAGATGCAAATTTTGTTATAGTTTTGTGGATTTTTTTTCAAAATTCAAATTATTGTTTTTGTAGCGAGTTTTTCGATAACAATTTCTAATTCACCCCCAAAATATTAACATTGTACAATGCATATGTAAGGCTGAAGATTTTAAAACTCTTACTTAAACTTTATTACATAATTTTTTTAAATTATATAAAATCTTAATTTTTTTATTTTTTTTATAAAGTTTAATTCTAATTTAATTGAATTCAATAATTTTTAAAACTTTTTCTCTACAAATTGCAGTTCTTATAAAGTTTCTAATTTCCTTTTAATTTTCAATTTTTAAATTAATAATTTCAAAGATTATAAGTAAGAGTTTTAATCCTTCAATGCATCGAAAGCATGTTACACTGTACTATCTTATTTTTGAAAGCTATCAGCAACTAAAAGTTACTCACATTGCCGTTTATTCATATATTTAAGCACTTTCCATTTATATCATATTGATTATGCTGACACAAACATTTATTATTATTAATTTGCAGTAAGGGTTCGTTCACTTATTACGTAACGCACTAGGGGGGGAGGGGGGGTCTAAGATTTTGTTACGGTTTGTTACAGGGGGAGGGGGGGGGGGGTCTAAATTTTGTTACGTAACTTTTCAAAAAATATATTTTTTTAAAATTTTTTCTATATTAATTTTAAATTTTTTTAACGTTAAATTTTAACTTAAGAACTTTTTAGCAGAGATCGAAGCCGATTTATTTTTCGGCTTAACTCAATTTTTTTTTTATTATTATTATTATTATTATTACATGCTTTTTATTGAGTTGCTCTGTCTGTTGGTTTCTTTGTCACGTTCAAAACTTGCAATCGATTTTTCGACCACTTCTGCTGCTCCAATCGAGCTCAAATTTTTTATTCACACGTATTCCCGGTGACAATACAATATTTTAACATTTTGAAACCACAAAAATGCTTAATTATAGTAAAATTTAAGTAAAACTTTTTTATATGGGAAAACAATCCAATGTCAATGATATAAAATTTTGATTTGTTTAAAATATTATACTTGAAATGCTCAAAATTCATTTATGTGATTCATTATAGTTTAATTAATATAACTAAATATTAATTACACTATAAATTTGAGCAGCTAAAGATATTCCGGTAAGACAAAAAAATTGACATGTAATTTTTTCATGAATATTCGTAAGTGAAAATTTGAATTTTCAAAAAAACCGTTAAGCACAAGTCCGTTACGAATTAATGCAAAATAACTATTCATATGAGATATGCATTTAGCACACATAGTTTGAGCATATATTTATGCTGTTTTTAATGTATTACATTATTTATAAAACTTCACCAACTTAATTAAATTTACTTTTCTATTTATTAACGGCTTGAAGTATATTTGTATATAAACACAAAATCTCCAAGATTCATTTTTAATGTCCTTTACTAATGAATGTTTTAAAAGCACAGAAAGCGCACATAATTGAAGTTCAGGATATTTTTTAAGAAGTTTCATCTGTTTCCAGGTATGACTTAAATTCTATAAAACAAATGAATGAACAAATGTAATCTATAAACAGTTGAACGAAACGGAGTAAAACGAAGTGGAGTTGAATTTGAATTGCTGTGGTCGATATTCGATTGAAAGATTGAGACTAAAAAGTAGCAAATAAAAAAAATGTTAAAAAAACTTTTTAAAAAACACGCTTTTTCCCAAAGACTTAAAAAACAAATAACATTTTTTCTTGAAGTTAAATCTGTTGTTTAGACTAAAAACCAAGCGACCAAAACAGGAGCAAATAAAAAAACGTTAAAAAAACTTTTTAAAAAACACGCTTTTATCAAAAAGACTAAAAACCAAAAGGTTGAAAATAAAATAAGATCACACTTTTAGCAAATCAGGATTTTAAAAGTTTTCTTGTGACAACTAGAAATGTAACATAAATTTTTTTCAAAATATTCTGATTAAGTCCAAGAACACAATGACTCTATAAGCGTGGGGCGTAATTTAAGGATGCATTTCTTAGTTCAACTAAGTTCTTAAGTAAGAGAAGCGTCAAATCTCAAAGCCCCACGCTTTTCGAGTCATTGTGTTCTTGGACTTAATCACAATATTTTGAAAAAAACTTATGTTACATTTCTAGTTGTCACAAGAAAACTTTTAAAATCCTGATTTGCTAAAAGTGTGATCTTATTTTATTTTCAACCTAAGGTTAAGCCGATTTTAAGCCGAAATTTAAGCCGATCGGCTTAAAATCGGCTAACTTGAAATTCTGAGCTTCCTATAGCTACATGCTGACAAAATGTTACACAGAATCATAGTAAAGCACATAAAGTTCAATTTAAATACTTGAAATGGGTGTTAAATGGCTTTTTTCTATCAAAAAAATCAAAAATTGAGTTAAGCCGAAAAAATCGGCTTCGATCTCTGCTTTTTAGTTATAAGTAAAACTGTTTATTTTACATACTTAAAGGAAGTATAATAAACATTTGATAAACAATTTAAATGAAAAAAATTATTGTTACGTTATGGGGGGTGGGGGGTGGAGGGGGGGTCTAAGATTTTGTTACGCTTTGTTACAGGGGGGGGGAGGGGGGGTCTAAAAACTCGTTTTTTTGCGTTACGTAATAAGTGAACGAGCCCTAAGTAGATCTTTATAAAGTCATAATAGGATAGTGAGATAAGATACATTCATTAGTTCAACAAAAAGACACACTTCAGAAGAGAGATTTAAATAGAGGAAGAGAGAAAAATATAGCACATAGATTTTAATAATCGAACAGTTTTTTGCACATTTGTTTTTTTATTGCTAAAGTTGATAGAAACAATTAGGATCATTTTTTAAACAATTAATTGCACAACAAACAACACTGGAATCATAATATTCACATTATATATTTTCACGGTCGACAAGTGCTATATACTTTCAACTGTTTTTGACATTTTGTTCCTATTACTTACTCGCATGCCTTCCCATCGAGAGACAGCACGTAATGGTCTTAAGGCTCTTAGTGTTCGCATTGAACGAAATGCTGGAATGTCAGCTGCGCCGGCCATAATTGCTCCCAAATTTATAAGTGAGAGCTTTTATGATGTTTTTTATGTGAATAAAAATTAAAATTCAAATTTCGAGAACAATCTTCATTTTTTTAAATTTAACATCAGTTTAATATTTTTGGGGTGTTATCAACATAAACTAGTAACAGTTATGAATATGATAAAATGGTTAAGGATTTGGATAGGTAATAACTTACCATGACGATAACGAAATCAAGCCAACACCAAGCGTTTGTGAAATACACTTGAAAACCTAAAGCTAACCATTTAATTAACATTTCTATGAAAAATATCACGGTGAATATTCGATCCATGTAATATAATATATCTTGTAATATTGGTCTATCCGGAAGATGAACATCTTCTAAAGCCTAAAATGCGGAACAATTTAATTAATATTTTTTAATAAATTATAAATAAATAAATGCTTACCAAAGCTAAACTACTGAGCAAGATCATCGTAATTACAGCTGTTTCAAAGTACTTATTCTCAATCAATTGGAAGGTTTTCAAGCGCAAATTGGCCCATCCTTGCCAGAAGGGTGCATCATCATCACCAGCCAAAAATGGAAAACGTTGATAAACGTGTTCGGGGAAGCAATCAGCTGGCGATTCTTCAATTACATCTTCTTCTTCGGCATGAATGATACCGCGATGCGGTGCTTCTTCCTCTTCTTCTTCACACTCTTCGTCTATAATCAGTTTAAAAAACGATTAATTCATTCGTTGACTATAGCAAATTGTTAAGAAACTTACCTTCATCTATACCTAAGTCCTCCTTACTAACATCACGTTTCTCTTCACCATCTATCGTCTCAGCACTTCCTTTATGGCTTTCATCTTTAAACGGGCGATTTTTATGACTTCCATACGATTTAATACTGGCAGTGTCATCGTCCTGCAAGGACATGCCTCTATGATTTAGCTCATCTAATCTATTATCTTGGTGTGTGATTGAATTTCCTATCATCTATTTAAGGGGGGAAAAATTTTAAACGTAACGAATGAATTAAATTCTTTCTCTTTCTCTTTTGTTTTCTGGATTATACTGTCACATTAATTCCCGAGATTTACGTATTCTAAGGGTTTTTATTTATCGCTAATAGATCAGATATGCAAGCTAATTATCAAGGTTATGTGAGATTTTATCACAAATGGAATGAAGAAATTTGTGATATTCGATGATTCTTTTGTCACAATTTTCTTCATAAAATCGGAAGAAAATAAAAAGACTTTTGAAAATTAAGAATTTCAGAACGAAATTCTTGAATTTTCTTTAATTATTGGAAAAGTTTGTCAAACTTTTATTTTTTTTTGTAAAACTCATGCAATTTTGTCTTTCTTGGATTAAAGTCATCAATCAATTTATCTAAAACTGATCTTAAAAGGCAATGAACCGTGCTCATTAGATATCGTGCGCCACTACGGTAACTTGTGAACTCATTGCTTGTTAAGATATTTAAATCAAAAATCCAATTTTTTTTCATAAAAGTCTAACAAATTTTCCGAAAACACTTTAATCACAATTCGGATTTAAAATTCAGTTCTTTACTTACTTTTGTATTATTCATAAGTTTATTTTTCTTTGACTTATTTTTTAAATCTCCATGTATCGTAAATTCCATTCCATCACCAATTGCAACTTCTAATTGATTTTCCTTTCCTTTCTTTATCAGTCCATCAGCTAGTATTTCATCACCACTGATCTCGAGATCATTATCACCACCATGTTCTGAGGATATACAAGGACAAATCCTTTTCGCTATAGCTTTTTTTTTAAATTTAATATATTCATATTTTTTTATGTGTTTTTATTGTTAGAAAATAAATTGATGATTTTTTTTTTCAATGAAAAATTCGCAATTCACATAATTTTATGTGTGTTGATATTCCAATGGATAATTCAAATATATATATTTTAAATTCATTTCGCATGAGATTTAAGTTTAAGCATATTTTTTGATAATTTTTTATGTGATGAAAACAAAGATAGAAAGAAAAAGAATGAAGAAGAAAGAAAATAATTTAATTTATTTTGACAAAATAATTTTTTGTTTGATGAACACTCAATTTTATTTTTTTATATATCAAATGCGACAAACTAAAATTATTATTTTGTAAATATAACATCAATGGGACATAAAATTAGGGATTAATGTGCATTTTCTTATGTACTGTTTCAAACTACGTAACAAAAAATTGTATTTTTTAAATGCCACAAAGTTTTTTTTTTGTAGAAGAATAGGAACTCGATGGATATAAAAATATTAATAATGGAGGATTTAATGATCAATATTTTGAAAGAACTTTATTTTTATTTTTTTTTTATTTACTGGAGTCCTCGATTTGAGTAGGTGTTTTGTTCCAAAAAATTCCTGTTTAAATCGATTCTACTCAAATCGAATTATTTACTTTTTGGATGAAAAATTTCTATTATAAAAAAATATTTTGAATTTTTTATTCAATAATTTTCATTACTCAAATCGAATTTACTCAAATCGAGGACCCCAATATAGTAATATTCAAAATTAAATGGGAACTATTCTCTGGCAGACTCTGGAGGTAGGTTTATTAAGAAATTTTAAAGGGGGTGCGGGGAGGGGGGCAGTGTTAAAAGTAGTACAATAATTTCTTTTATTGTTCATTGCTCAATCATTTTGATCCTTAAACATGATAAAAGTAATTTTTTTTAAATATTTGCAAAATAAAATTTGAACAAGAATCTTAAAATCTCAAAGTAAATTTTTGAAACAAAGAAAAAAGTTTTAAGTTCTACAAAAAAGATAAACTCGTTTTTTGTTGCTAATTTTACGAATTCCCATTCTTTAAAAAATCAAAAGTTCAAGTGAAATGCTTAAAATATGATATTCTATCAATTAATATGCTCACCATAAATAAACAACTCAAATAAAATTTAACAGAGGATATATTTGAGGGAGAAAAACAAAAATTTATGACACACAAGGCAATAAAAATGTTTCTAGCTAAAAGAAGGTTAATTTAACCTTCCCAAATTATTTTTTTTTTCACATAATAGTTATCTACTTAAAACAAATAAAATCATAACACAAAGAAAGAACTGAGAGATTCTCTGTTAACATTTTTTAATAAATTTTCCAGTTTACACTTTCAAAATTTTAATTTTTTTTAAATTTAAACATCTTATCTTTCTCAATTCCGCAAAAAAAAAAAACCATCAACCATCTATTCTAAGATAAACAACACATAAATAGAACCACGTTTTAATTACCTGATGGCTGCACTGATATCTGATTTGTTATCTTATTTTTAACCCCTTTCAAACAATATACTATACTCTCTTTAACCCATCTCTTAAATCTCGATATTCTATTGAACGCTTCGGCTATTTTATTTGTTTCACTATCGGCCGTAGGTGCTGATAAGCTCGATGAACCGAAATTGGACAAAAGCAAGGCTAAGAAAAGATTGAGAACCTGTGACGAGAATCGATAAAAATTCATGTTAAATAGTTTTTTTAAAGATTGTGTTTGTGATCAATTTAAACAGGAATGGGACAGCTTTCCATCTTTATAAATCAATCACATTAAACACGTCGATTCAGATGAGCTGAAAATTGCGTTAATAGCAATGAATCAGCTGATACTTACGACTAAGTTGCCTATAACTACTGTTGCTAAAAAGAATGGTATGCAAGACACGTCGCCAACATACATGCAGTCCCACATACTCTCGATCCATTCTCCACAAAGTACTCGAAATACTATCATAAATGAATGCATGAAATCCGTAAAATTCCACCTCGGCATTCCGTCTTTAAATTTGTGCACATTATCTGTTAAATGCAGTAAAAAATGAAAAGATAGAAAAAGGCATTAGAAAATTTTATTTGATTCTCATTGAGTGTACTAAAATATATACTTATATTGAATCTTATATACGGTTTCAAACTACAAACTAGTTAAATAAAATAATGTACATAAAGCAATGTAGATAGCAGTTTTAGAGGAAGCGCAGTAGAGGTAGAATATAAAGAGAAAGGAAAAAATAGCAAAAAAACTAAAGGAATGCAATTTCATAAGCGAGTACTACCTGCTTTACCCTATTCAATATATATTTATTGAGTAAAAATCTAGAGGGATTCTCTTACTATACTCAAAATGAATGAACAGTATTAAAAAAAACTAAGAAGGGATGAAGAAAATATAATCAAACAAAGGGAGAGAAAGGTAACTGAAGAATTTATAGTTGCAGAGAGAAAAAATGAATATAAAAAGTTACATTTTGTAGGTCAGACTGTGATCACGTTTGAGTTAGATTTCTAGAAATTTCTGCGAACGTTTGCGATATAGTTATGCTTGACAAAGGGGTGAAGTTAAAAGTTTTTTATGAGAGTTTTGTTCAGAAAATTGAAAAAAATCTTGAAAAGTTTCTTTATTCAGCAATGACTGTTTTTCTATTGAAAATTTGTTAAATCAAACTACTAAGCACTATTTTTTATATAAATTGTCATTCTCAAAAGCTTTCATTACATCAACAGTCCAACAATGTGTAAAAGATGATAAAAATGAAACGAAAGAAAATAAATCCAACAACATCAACAAGTAACACCAACAACATTAAGACTCGACTATTTTTCGTATCTGACTTTGTCGTGACTTACCGTGATAATTTTTGCCAAACAGTTGCATTCCCATTACAGCAAATATGAAGATGATAATACACAAGACGAACGTTAGATTACCTAATGCACCCATCGTTCGACCCATAATTGAAATTAACAGATTTAATGTTGGCCATGATTTAGCTAACTTGAACACACGCAGCTACATATTGAGTAGGTTATTTTGAGGGGAGTTTTGAAATATTTTTATGTGACATTATTTTTTTTTGATATTTCAAAAGAGGAATAAAAGAATTAAAAGAAAAAAATAAGCAATTAAATTATTCTAATTGATGAAAGGATTTTTCTTCAATATTATTTTTGCTTCCATTTGTAGAATATTCATGTCCAATTTACAGTAGAGTCAAAATTCCTTTCAGCTTAATTAAAAGTTTTTAAGGGTTTTTTATACAAAAAATTGAATTAAATTAAATTAATTATAATTAAAAACTAGTAAAAATGCCATTGAGATATTTAATGGCCGTAGTGCATTTTAACGGATATGATTGCGTAGCAATTAATAATTATTTTAATTTTGTAGATTTTTTTGGTTCGTACATTACCCAATTAGGTCCCAAATTATCTAAATATAAGTGTGGGAGTTGGATGATTCACATTTAAACCCACAAAATGTTAATTTTTTAATAATTGATAATCAAAAAAATTATACATCGTAAAAATGCACTAATTGTTTTTTGAGTAATTAAAAATTGTGCCATTTTTGTAAGTAGCGCTTTTAGGCATAATGGAGGCATATTTTTCAGGCATTTCAAGTTTATTTGAGTATATTTTTTAATCGAAGCATTGGTCAGCCAGGCGAGCTATGAGTTTAAATTAAAGAATGTCCACATTTCATTCAAATGCTCATCCCGTTCTTCATTTCTACATACTAACCCCAATAGTTCTTTCCAAATAGTTGCATTCCCATAACAGCAAATATGAAGATAATGATACAGAGTACGAAAGTTAAGTTACCTAAGGCACCAACAGTACGGCCCATAATTGATATAAGTAAATTTAATGTTGGCCATGATTTCGCTAGTTTGAAAACTCTTAACTGTAAGATTTAATTGGTCATTTTCATGTAATTCGTTAATATTATGTCAAAAAAAAAATTGCGTCATATTTTATGTATTTTTTCGTTGTTGGAAGCAAAATATCAAGCTAGATTTTAATTCATTAATAAAAGGACGATTAACTTACCAATCTAAATGAACGTAATACAGATAAACCTTGTACGCCTTCTAAGCCTAATTCAAGTAATGATAACGCTACAATAATGAAATCAAAAATGTTCCAGCCTTCTTGGAAATAAAATTTTGGACTCATTGCGACGAGTTTTAACGTTGCTTCAATACCGAAGGTTGCAGTGAAAAACTAAAAGGAAAATAAGGAGATTTAATGAATAATTCAAATATAATAATGAGATTAATTTAACTTACATAGTTGCCAGTCTTTAAGATTTTTTCAATACCCTTATCCATGTTATGGTGATCAAGTGCCATAAATAATGTATTGATAACAATACAAAGTGTGATAAACAGCTCTACAAATGGGTCAAATACAAGCCATGCGACCATTTCTTGGAATTTGAGCCAACATGAACAGCAATCCCATATACAAAAGATGTCAATGCTTTTTAGACCTGCTTCAATCATTTTCTCTTTAAATGTCGGTCCATCTTCATCGTCCTCTTCTTCTGTGGGAAAATAGTAGACAGACACTGAAGGAGATGCGAAAGAGAAAAGAACAAAAAATTTAAATTAGTTTAACTTGTACTTTTTGATCGTCGACCTTTTTTTCTCGTATTTTTTTTTTGCTCAAAATTTGTGAAAAAATTTATTTATTTTTGTTTGAGAAAAATTCCTTCCTTGCTTCTATTGCTTTAAAAGTTTCTTAATGGAAGCAATCGATTCTATTCAAATCGTATTTGGCTCTATTGTTCTGAAAAAAGAAGCTTCTGGCATCAAACTGATTTATTGAATGATTTGCCAGTTCTATTATCCAAAAAAATGTTGCGTATTTTTTAACTATGCCAATTTTTTTTGTTAAGAATTTAAAGTTTTAAAAAATCTATCACTACACATGCTAAAAACTAGTAATCTACTTGCTACTTGTTAAAAAAAAACTATTGCATAAAACTAGATTGAGAAAAAAATTTGTTAAAGTAAAGTGCTTAAATGTTTATCAATTGCTTTGTTTATGGAAAAAAGATGTTAAAGATATTATTGGATGATTTTGGACGGTTGTGAATTTTAATCAATGATTTAAATCTGTTTTGATTCTGTTTATAAAATCAACTTATGGAATTTATTAGATTTAATCATAAAATGTGATACAATTTTATTTTAAGAGCGTTGATTGAATATTTTTTATATTAATCAAAAGAATGTTCACAATAATTGAAAATTTTGTTTGAATATGAATAAGATAGGCGTTAGAATTTTAACTCAAAAAAAACTTTAGCAAATGACTCTAAAATGCATGTTAAGTCCAGCATTAACATGCAGTAAAGACAGAAGTCTTGACCAACAATATTCTCTGATATTGATTCTTTTTGACCTTCAGAGACAGTAACGAAATAAATCGAAGAAAAAAAATCTACTGACGCGTCATGACTACGATTGAGTTGCATGTTAAATATCAATGAAAGGTTTTAAAAAAATTATTATTATATGCAATTATCTACAGACAACAATGTCCGTTGAAATGCTCAATAAAATTGTAGTCATTCGTTTATTTCCCTTTTGGACTCAAAACTTAGTGCAAATTATTTTCATATAAATATCACTTTAATAAATGGACTAGTTGTATGTATGAAAAATGGAATGTTTTGGATTAAAACTATGAAATAAATGTGAAAGTTTGTGAATTATTAATTGCAATATTTTATTTCAAAAAAATATTTAAATTTAATTCAATTTAATTTTTTTTGAACCAATTCATTTGAAGTGTATGAATAAAAATTGCTGAAATAGATGAAGTAAAATGTGTGTGGGACTTTCAATGAGCTTGAATTAAGAAAGATTGTGTGTGTACGTGATAGGAAGACCTTTTTCTCTAAAAGCTTTGTCTCTAATTCTTTTATTAAAAATTCATTTTAAGTATTTTTTCGGTTTATTATTTTTTTAAAAAATATAAAAACTTTTGTTTTAAAAAAATTGTTAATTAAAAAAAATTATGACAAATTAAATGAGAAACAAACCTCTTGCATTAAATCCCTCATCAGTTTTTGTGTTAAAATTGTTCACAAAATTATATATATTGAAAACAAAAATATATTAATTATTTTTCTTGTCTTAAACAATAAATGATTTTTTTCAGTTACTTTCTTATTAATAAGACTTAAATTTTCTATAAAAATAGAAGTAATTCATAAAAATAAGCAATGAAATGAAGGAAAAAATAGAATTTAAATAATATTGAAAGTAATCAATGTGTCAGTACTTTTAAGATCAAACTTCACTTTTTGAAGATTATAAATTAAGTTTACATTTTTAAGCAACGAGCTGTTCAAAGTACTAACACCTTGAACTTGATAAATTACAAAAGATTTAAAAAAAACAATTTATAGAACTTATAAACTTGTATTTACAGAATTTGTAATAAAATATATGTAAAACATATTATTTATCGGTTAATTTATTAGATTTATTCATATTTTGATTTATCATACGGATATGGTGTGAAGGGCAAGTAAGAATATGGAAAGATTAGTGAGTGTAATACATCTCTTGTCAAATTATTTTCAACAAGTTTTTTTTGTATTATTTAATGAAAGAAAATGAAAAAAGTAAGAAGATTGACTGAATGTGATGCAAAAGAAATTAACAAAAGATGTGAAAAATGAGTTTTAACTTTTCCGCTTGTATCTTGTTTTGTGTCGTTTCTAATTTTGAGGACTTTGAACTCAAAGTCATTATTGTATACATAATTAAGGAGATGTTGTGTTGCTAAAGTACAACATCTTGCAACTTTTAAAAGTCAATTCTGTATTTTAATATTCTTAGGAAGAATTTCATATGTAAAAGAAGAAAATTGATTGTTTTTTACAAACTTGGATGTCAGAGTGAAATGATGAATTTAGAATTTTGAAACGACTATGAACTGTTAATTAAATGAATTATTAGAAAGCATATTGTAACAAAAATGAGGAACTAAAAGATGTTATGTATGAATAAACTCTCGTTCTAAACATGTTCCTAAACTTATAATATTTGGAATAGTTAAGTTGAGTTTCTAGGAAGATTTGTTGTGCAATATTTAAACAATTGATGATAATAGCTTTAAAGTTAAAACTCGCATGTTGCGATATATTGATTGAAAATAAAGAAGATTCAGCATAAAAGCTTATAAGACTTAGACTTTTAATATTTGCGCATTATCTCAATGAAAATACTTTTTATTAAAAGATTCTAATAAGATTTAAAATGATTCAACTAGAAAATATGAATCTATCATATAAAAATCCTAACATATCATAAATCGCTTACTGTCCAACGACAAAGATAATTAGTTTACCGAGACAACATCGGCATGAACATAATAGAAACCTCATAAAATCGAACGATTTCACGGGCAGTTAATTTCCAATGTAATATAATTTAACCTCATTTTCCAATCAATATATCACTTTACATGTTAAGGATAGGATAGAATAGACAAAGAAGAATTTTGCATGCTGACAAATATAAATTTATGAAGGGTTAGAAAATATCAATAGATACAAAGAGATGTATAGGTAAACCAATAAAAATTTTTTAAAAACTGTAATTTTTCATTCTAAACACTCGGACACACACAAATACATTTTTTTAAAGATTTTCACAACTTTTTTTTTAATCTCGAAATTTCCACTACATACTGTTGATTACAATAACTAATAAAATAAATTAAAACGAAAAGTTAAGATATAGTTTACAACATATACATACACTTTTTTTTGGCATACTTAATAAATTTAGATTTTTGTTATTTGATTTTAAATACAATTTTTAATTTATATGATTAGTTTAAATAAAGAACATAACTGATCAAGCTGTATATATATAAAATAGGCACTTTGAATGTGAATAAATGGAAAATTTATAAAAGTATCATTCTAATCTATTATGAGACAATATCACACTCACCTCCGTGTTCACTAGCTCTACTGTGTCTACCAGCTGCTTGCTCTATGATATCATTTAATACCATCACATCTGCAATTGGGAATGTCGCAACAGATCGGTATTAAATTAAAAAATACTCTCATCTTCAACAACTTTCTTACCTTTCATATCAACAACGGTATTTGATTGAGCTGGTTCTTCAATAAATGGATTACTACTTTTAATTTTGCCTGCTTCATCCGTACAGTCTTGAGACATTTCTTGTAGCGACTAGAATTTTTAAAAGCACAAGATGAAAATTCCTTCTATAAATAATATTCATTTCTAGCTTCTTGTCACGTTCGCAAAGATAAAGTTTAAAGAGTTATAAAAGTTTTAAATGTCTTTTTGGCGCATTTTTTTGTGAGTTTAACCTAAATTAGTGGTTGTTTACTAAACTTGCAGATGATTCTAGAGTTTGTTTTAATTAAATTATTATCAGACATACTCAAAGACAAACATTATTTCTTAAGCAAATTATCAATGAATTCCTTATATTAAATTTTATTTGAGAAGAAAATTTTCAAATGACAGCGAATAAACACAAGATTCCCAAACGTATTAGAAGTAGATAGACGAAATCAAGAAACAATTTATTCTCATAAAATATGCGCCAAAAATAAAATAAATTTCATTTGATAATTTTTCGATTTTCTTACATATTCCCGATGTCCCTTATGATTAGAATCCATATAAGCTGAAGCAGATGTTGGCTGTTGTTGTATGATGGCATGATTTCTAGACCGACCTCGTAATCTACTTTCTTTCGTCATTCCACCTAATAAATCACCATGAGATGTATAAGATATTCGCGATTGATGTGATGTATATGACGAGTGTCTTGATCCCAAATTTGCATAATACACGGGAACAATGATTGCACCATTCTCTTCAGACATTGGTGTAACAGCATTTGAATCATCTGCATACGGAAGATGTTCTTGTGCATCTAAATATGTTTGTAGTACTAATGGCTTTCTATCGTTTCCGCCTGAGGGGACGCCTATTAATCGTCCACGATTTCTTAGGGTGAATTGGTGAGAACCTCTCGAGCCACGGCGAGGATTGAACGGTGATCCAGGGAGTGAAAGTGAAGCCTTTTAAAATGATAGAGAAAATATTTATTAATTCCAAAATATTAATTTTGGAATAAAATTTTTAAAACCAAAAATATAATTGGAAATAAAGTAGAATTAATTGAGTCATGTTTATTTCATTTTTGTTTCAATCATGTTAACATATTAATTCTAAAAAAATAGTCAATAGTTTATTTATTATAGTAATCAAACAAGCTCCTAAGCCATTGCTTCAGACTAATTATTGGGTATCATTTTAATTTTTCCGCATCTTCTTTGAGAATTTTTTATCCTTTTCTTTTATCTTTTTTGCTTAAAACACACCTACCTTAATTTGTATGCTATATATTTTACTATACACACACGACATTAGATTTCATGTTCTTAATATTTACGATAAAAAAAAACTTCTTACTCGTTTAAAAATTGTTATAGACTAAACTGAACGTGTAATAGAGAAAATTGAGACAAAGAAAACTTTAATCTAAACATAAATATAGTTATCAAGGGATGCTAACTTTTTGAGAGCTTAATCATGATTTTTTTGATGATTGATTTTTAATATTTTCAATAAATATCTTTTAAAATGTCTTTAATTTTAACAATAAAACATTTTATAATAAAAATAATATTTTGATAGAAAAATTAAATAAAATAACCTACAATTATGTCATTATAGTTCAAAATGTTTAGAAACTTTTTTTTTAAAAAAATGACACAATTTGATAAGTTTAACATTCTTATAGAATTAAATGCCAAATCATTCAAAAAGTTAACATGCCTCACAAAGATGTCAAATGTTAATTATATGATAGACCTAGAGATGAGGACTATATTGTTGCTATTCAAAATAATATGGATGTAAGAAGGTGCCGTTCACTTATTAAATTCGTTTTTCATAGATCTTGTAACTTACAACAGACGAATTTTATAACAAAGGGTGAGAAAGGTTGGAGGTCTAAAATGAATTTTTTGTCTGCAATTATAATAAATGAACGACTCCTAATGAAAATCAACTAAAATTTGATGAATTCACAAATACTTAATTTATATACATATATTTAGATAGTAAACTTATATGAATTTTAAACATGACTACAAATTTTCTTTTTTGATAATTTTTTCAAATTCTATAATTTTTGTACAACAAAATTCAAATTGGAATCGGATCAAAAATTTAGTGTTGAGGTGAAGATAGGAAAAATTAAAATGCTTTTATGAATGGTACTAAGTGGGTGTTAGGAGATCAAGAATGATTAATTCAAGATTAGTTTAAAATATTTTAATTCAAAAGTTCAAAAAAATAAAAGAAAATTTTGTCTGAGATTTCAGTTTTTTCTGATTGTTGGAAATTATTTAATGTCCTTAAACGTTTATTTTGCATATCTTAAATACGACGGACAATATTAAAAAGTATTAAATCCAAATAAAATATTTTTTAAAAGAAATATTCCTGGTTGAATCCAATAAGATTAAAAGATCTGACAAAATTTTCTTACTAAGAGTAAGAAGGCTAAAATAAAGGAAGAAAGACTACAAATTAAAAAATTCTACAGTCATTCAGAAAACAACATAGCAAATTAAGAACAATAAAAAAGATAAAAATGTTAACTTGAAACTGTATAAAGATTTATATAGGTCAAGATACTTTTGAGCGATTCCAAAAATGTGTTTTTACATTTGCAAAAAGGAAATGAATTAAAATGTTGATAGGAACTTATATTTTTTGTATGACAATACATAATGATTCCTTGTAACCACTTTGAAAAACTATTGAAACATTTTTCAACTTTTTTATCTGCTATAGTCCATTACATCTAAAAATCTAGCCATAAAAAATTCCTACTTATTAATCTAAAAGTTATGTCAAGATCATAATTGTAAATCGAAAGTCGTGCTTCTTGATACTTTGGCGACTAGAATCTGATAACAAAAATATTTCATCAATATCATTTAGCTACTTCTTGCCTTTCGTTTGCTGATTGAATCAAAAAAGTATCACATGTGAGCCTTAAAAAGTTTGGTATTTGCGTTTATGACCAATAAGAAGAGGTTTTTTCCATCAAAGAAAGTATCGATTATATGATTTCTGACTAGCTTTATTTAAGACGAGTCAAAAAAGGTTTGAAAATTCTTTAAATATAAAAAAAATTCTGAAAAGCTCAAAAAGTAATATTTTTAGCAACAAATGATTAATTTCATCGTGTTTTGCTCTATTACATGAATGCAAAAATAACAACATAAGAATATTCAAAAAGGAAACCAAGTGAAAAAGATATGAGAGAGAGGTTGTATGAATGAGGTGAAAAAAAGAAAAAAATCAATAAAACATACCAAGCTCATAAATATTTCATCCTACAAACCTATCACTTTCTCAATGAAGCATGCAAAGCATTCACTCATACTTACCGTGCTAACTTTTCGTGCTTTAGCTGAAGCAAGAGCTGTTGGTGCTGTTGTTCTTGTGATTTCGCTCACCGACTCCAATCCTTCGCTTCTAATTGACATTTTCTCCTTGTTGTTGTCATCATTGCCTTTCTCTTGACCCACAAACAATTCATATGAGTGACATGAAAAGTCTGATGGACTTTTGGCTATTTGTTCAGGTTCCATCGCCGCTTGGGCTGCAGCAGCTGCTGCCGCCGCGTGAGCTTCGATTTTGGCTTGTCGAGCTGCCGCGGCTTCTTCAGCTTCCTAACAGCCATAGCGGGACGTAGCATGGATTTATTATTATGAAAGCGTGGGTTGAATTTTGTTTCGATTCGGATTGTAGATGTAGATGAAGGGGAAAGAAATAGAAAAGAAATTTATCGATTAATTTCGGTTATGGACAAAGCTCAATTTTTGGATTATGCATTTACAATTAATTTCTGTACATTTAGAAGCTTACCAGATATACAATATGTATAATTTTTTTTTTTTTTTTTTTTTGTAAAATAGTGATTAAGTATAGACAATTAATTGACTCATTCAAGCACCATACACATACATACATGACTTTTATTTTGACTAATGAATGATACGAATTATGTAATAGATTTATGCAAACTAAAGCATATTTATGACATTTAAAATTATACAACATAATCATAATAATAATAATGAGCAATAAAAGAATATTAATGGAAAAGTCTGACACAAAATTATGGTTTCATTTCATTTATAATATTTTTTTTTGTTTTTCTATATCGGGATATGCTATGTGGGTAAATATTCTAGCGGATAGAAGCGATTTAAAAAGTTCTTTGAACCGCCTATGATGGATTTTTATATATGCGATGATTTTATGAGATATTATAGTTCAAAATTAAAATGTGTTGGAATGCAAATGTTAAGCCTTATGTGCTTGAATTCTTGGTTTATTTAACATTTCCTATTAAATTCCCGAGAAAAATTTTGAATAGTTTTTGAAGATATTATTTTATTAAGACAGATGCAAGTTTCTGAAGTATCTCATTAGAATCCTATAAGACTATTAAAGTGAATTTGAAATATCGAAATGGCAAACATTCAGCGGTCCATTAAACATAGGTGTATTCAGGTGTGTAGCCAGGATAGTGAATAAGGTTTGATTATGAGAAAAAAAAAACAAAAAGCTATGCCAATTTTTGCCATTTAAAAATTTTGAACCAATCTGAAATTTCTAGCTACGCCCCTGGTTGGATTTATACATTTAAACAATAATGGATATATGTCTTATTAAACATTGATGAGCAAATTATGATAAAAATTATAAATGTTAAATTCAAAGTCGTAGACACTTTTAAAATAAAAGAATTTAATTCCGATATTTTTCAGTGTCTACGCTATTACGTCATTTTAAAACACAAAATCCTTTAAATTATCTCTACCATTACAAAATTGTCTTGAACGAAATATTTCTCGAAAAATAAATTTTTTTTATCAAAATTCAAACAAAATTCTCAAAAATTTTAAGTTGTTGAACGAAAAATATTCCTTCTTCTTTGATAGACGAAGCTTAACATGAATTATAACAGTATATACATTACATCGAGAGAAAGATAAACCAATAAACTTATAAGAAAATCATAAAAAGAATAAATGAGATATAAGTTCATAGACAATTATATTATAATATGTAGACATATGAAATGAAGTGTTTATTTCATTTCTCACCCTAAGAGCTTCTTCCTCGGCGGCCTCTTCCTCCTCGGCCTTCTTCTGGAGTTCGTCGTACGACATGGCAACAATAGCCAAGATCAAATTTACAAGGTAAAACGAACCCAAGAAGATAATCACAATGAAGAAGAGCATGTGCCACGGTCCAGCTGAGCGTAACACCTGATTTATTTATTTAATTTTTTTAATTTGAAGATTAAATGCACACCATGAAGAATGCGTCATCGTAGATTTCGGGTGATACGTCGAAAATAACGGAGGGAAAAAAATTTATTAGTATAACTTAAAAAAAGAAAACTGTCATTTAATTTTCATTTTTGATGACAATTTGAAAAAATCAGCTAGTGATTCCCTTAAACGATCAAATGAAAATCAATGACAGCATTAGTAAGAAATTTATTTTCATGGATCAATCGAATCATCATCACAATCAAACAGGATAAACGACAAACATTACCAATTGATATAAATTCTCCCAGAAATCCTGTGTCATAAGACGAAAAGCTGATAAGAAGGCCCATGCGAATGTATCGAAACTTGTGTAACCGTAATTAGGATTTGGGCCAAAGCCTTGCAAACAAATGTAATCTTCCTCACATTGTCTACATTTTTATGTACACACATATACGCAATTTGTTGCAACATTATGAAAAGAAAAAGAAAATAGAGATGGAAGTGAATTGTAAATAGTAATGAATAGAAATAATTTGCACACGTGTTGTCTTATCATATATAATGCAAATAATTACCCAGCACCAGATGAATTGCCACAAACAGGTGGATCGAGTGGCTCAGCGGGACCATAATACCAATTTGCTAAATTAAGTAAAGAATATATATATATTTTTTATTCATACGAATATTCATGTTTGGATAATCTTTAATAGCTCTGTGGTTATGGTATTCATACATTTTCATTTATTCTAAGCTTAGGCAGTCAAAAAGGTAATTTTTATATGAAAATGTATGACTTTACCATACATCTATTATTTTACTTACACTGGTTTTCACAAAACGATTTCCATAGTTCATGTGTAAAATTTCCATATGAACCATCCCATCTCCTTACGCACTTTTGCGTTAATACACCCATGTAGATTTGTAAGCCCATAAGTGCAAATACTGACAGTGAAAACATGGTCAAAATGATTACATCACGCAGATTCTTCACAGACTCAATGACAGCACCGACAATGGTTTTTAGACCTGTAATTCAATAACATTTTATGGTCGTGACATGGAAAGTCAATTTTAATTCAATTTACCTGGAACAATGGCCACAGTTTTGAGCGCACGAAGTACCCTGAATGTTCTTAATGCAGCCAAGTTACCCAAATCAATACCCATAGTTACATAACTGTATGTGAAATAATGGAATGGGAAGAGATATATCAAACATTAATTGCCTAAATTTTCTACATTTAACCGCAATTATAATATGTATATGTGCTCTATTTATATACATTTTGTCATCATCTTCATCATTGTCGTTATAAAAATTTCACTCCCAACGCATATGTATGTGTGTTTGTGTCAGCGAAATGCTTTTGACACTTTCAATGCAGAGAGGAACCTTTTTATGTGTTTGACAAAAGAAAAGAAATAAAAATAGGCAAAATTGACTTGAAAGGAGAACAAGTCACACTCAATAATGGAGAGGACTAAAGAGAGAAGGAAATAAAAAAAAATAGAGCGAAAGGTACACATAACCCCTCTACTACAGACGGAAAAAATATATATTTTTGTATTTTTTTTTCGTTCTTTCTTCTTTTCAATAAAAATGACATTTTATCGATATTTTTGAAAGCATGAAGGTTTTTTAAAAAAAGAAAAAAAAAAACGGAAAAGGTAGAAAATTCATGTCAACGGTTGTTATATTGCGGTATGACTTGATATCTGATTTATATACCTTAGACACTTTAGATCGGATGTATTTATATATGTATATGGTTGGAAAATGAAGAATAGCTAAAATTCAGAGAAATATTTTTTTTTCTATTTTAAATCTAGAGTTTGACTATTAAAGATTTATCATAACGGTAGTCTGATCAACTCATTACTATTAAAAGCTTCTTTACTAGGTAAGCTTTACAATTGATATGGTTGAACTTTATTGATTTCAGAGAATATTATTATGCACATCAATAATGCAATAACTATTGAATTATTAAGGTTGAAGTTAGATTTTACTACAAAATTAAAAGTTCTAGGAAATTGATTGACTCTCTTAGTAAATAAACCTAGACATCTACCTCATATAAGCATAGTAAAAAGTTTCTCAACTAATCTGTTTGTATTCCTAGAATTAATTATATCCATCCTGTTTGTATACTTTGTAATGAGCTTGATAGGAATTTCCTTAATTAATTTTACTACTTAAAGGAATAAACGATTGAATTTCTATATATTTTTTTACTATAGACATAAATGATGACATAAAAATGAAAACTTAATTTGACTAGCTATGATATATTGATTATGAATTGGTCGACGGTGTACATGTTTATTCTAACAGAGCTGATTTGAGGCAATTGACAATATTTTTTGTCTTTTATGTTATTAGGAAATTGTTGTTTTCAAGAAACTATATAGTTAAATTAAAATATTGAAGACTAAGTTGGATTTAGTTTCAATTGTAAAAATGTTGAAAATGTTGTTTTCATTTCCAAATACTCTGACCAGCTCTGACCTTTACCCTTTCTTTTAACTTTAATTATTAAAAGAACAAAAACCATCAAAATCAATACATCATAAAAATAATTCCTCTATAAATGTACGCATCTGATGACATATAAGTGGAACTAATGACAAAAAAATATAATAATATTATGTTTAAATGTCATTACACTCTAAACTATTTACAACTATAAAACTAAGAAGATTAATTATCTAAAGCTAGAAAACTCACGCTAATGTTATAACTATGAAGTCCAACCAATTCCATGCATCCCTAAGATAAGTAAACGGTTGTAAAATGAAACCTCGTGCCATTACTTTAACACCTGATTCAAATGTGTAGATTCCGGTGAATATCACCCTAGATGGTTTCGATTAATTGATTAATTAAAATTTATTATTAGTATTATTTTAAAAAAATATTATCATTTAAGAACTTATTGACACAAATATTGAAGTTTTTCATCTATTAAATCTATCTATTAATTAATTAAAAGTTACGGAAGAAAGAAATAGAATTCTATTGGATTCATCTATAAATAGTTTTATGGTATATAAGATGAATAACAACATCATTGAATCCTTATAAGACTACACAAAAAAATAATGATGAACTTACTCTGTTGATTCTATTAAGGGCGATGACGGCATTATCATTAATATACAATTTGTGAGGATAGTCGTAATGATGAATAACGAAAATAGTGGATGAACTAGAATATAAATAGCTACGCGACGAATTGGATTGAACGGATCAAGCAACCATAATGCGTTTGTTGCAGAAAAACGAAAAATATCTTTGCCTTTGCTTACAACTACGAAGGTCTAAAAATGTTTGAAATAAAAGAAAAATCGATTTTAGTAAAATTTTGTTGGTAAATGTCAACAAAATTAATATTTTTGTTATTTGTTTATTGAATAACAAAGCAAATATTAAAAAATTAATTTTTGAATGAAATGCTCAACAACTTACTCTTTGGTTTGAATAAAATGAGTCAATATCCTCGAGAGGCGTGGCGGCAAGTTCTGCTGGGAAATTACCCTGCATTCGAACAGGGATTGGTACACCCTGCTCGAGTGTGGGATCTGGTTGAGGGCCTTCATCTTCATCTTCATCATCGTATCGTATCTAAAAATAGGAAAAAAATTGACGAAGAAAAAGAAAGAAAAGATTTCATTTTTGAGTTTTCTGCTGACAAGAAAATTAAGCAATTTTGAGGATTTTAAAAAACTAAAGAAAAAAAACTTCTAACCCTAAGATTGAAAAGATTTCAAACTTTTAAGTTTTAAAAACCTATAAACTATGTTAATTAAAAATTATTAAGGATTTTTTTAAAAAAATATTTCAGTTTTGTTTCAAAGCAATTGCTCTTTTTGCTGTCAATCAATTATTGATGTTATAGATGCGTGTTATTGATGTGTAAAATGTGATTGTGTCTGTGAACATTTCCTTCCAATGAAGGAAAATCTTTGACGCATAAAGCTTGTTTTTGATCATAATTTGCAGTAACATTTCATCAATTTTCTGTGAATTTTTACTGGCATTTTCGGATTACTTTTTGCTAGGCTAATTTTGTTTTTATTTAGATTAACTTTTTCTTAAAATGTTTGTTCAGTGATTGGCGTGAGATTTCGCATTTTCCTGATTACCTTTTTAATTTTGCTAATAATTTTTTTATATTATCACTTTTAGCGATTTTACATCTAATTTTATGTTTTCTTAATTTCAAATATTTTACCTAATATTTTTGACTCTGATTTTATCTAAAAGCAGACAATACTTTGGCACCGCATGGGCCTTTCTTTTAAGTTTTCAATTAACTGAAGAAATAAATAACATAAAAAATAGAATTTAAAATCAACTTTAAATTAAAAATGTGTCTTTATGTTGGGTTAATACATTTTTAAATTTATTAAGAATTTTTCAAAATTATATTTTGCAGTTTGATAATCTTTTGTATGGACTTTTAAAAATTAAGTTTAATGCGACAAATAAAAACAAAAAAGTTTAAAAGAAAAACAAAAATTAATAAGGATGACGATTAAAGAAATAAGTAAGAGAAGTACCTAGTATATTACTTATTTTCATAATATTAGTAAATTGAACTTTGAAAACGTTGCACCAAATTCGTTTAAATCAACTTAAAGCGCACTGAGGTCACAACAAAAATTAATTAATGAAAAAAACTAGAAATTATCAAATAAAAATCTTTTTGATAATTTTCAAAAAATGAAGATATTCAAAATGCATATTTTATTTATTTGTCGACGTTTTACCGTCTGGAAGAATTAGTATTTCTTCATGTTTTACTTTTTACATTGATTAGTGATACATTTCATATCACTATGGGTGACGTAGAATCAAGCTTCTAATCTTCAAATCTAGGTTTCGATTAAATTCAGGCTCTCGTTTCAATCTTCTGTGGGCGTGACGTGATACATTTCAGTTCTGTTCTGACAATATTCCATTATAAGGTAACCTTGTAGCTCTCGTTCCTATTTCTTTTGCTACACTTGAAGTTCCTGATCCGTTCCTTAATCCAACGTTGCCCAAAATGCCCAATTATGGCTTGATCTCGTACATTAAGCAGACGAAGTATCTAAACTTCTGAAAAAGAACAAATTTGGAAATGGCTGGATTCGAACCGACGACCTTCGAGTTACCTTACCAAATTTGAGCCAAGCACCTTACCTTTTCGACCAGCAAGGCACTTAACTGCATAAATATGCATATTTACCATATTTATGGAGTAAAGGCAAGCCTTATCTCAAAAATCCCAATTCAAGTTCTCTAAAGCTTCCAAAAAATCATTAAATCAAATTTTTCCTTCTTTAATTGAAGGAGTTTTTTTCTTCGACCTCAGTGTGCTTTTTAATAAATTCAATCGAAAATGGTTCATTCTAGATTAATTGTTGTTTCAAATTTTGTAAAACTCGTGTTTTAATTTCTATTACGTTACGTCTTTGCTTTCAAACTGTTTAGTTTCCGTCATTGAAAAATTCTTTCAAATTTTGTAAAACTCGTGTTTTAATTTCTATTACGTTACGTCTTTGATTTCAAACTGTTTAGTTCCCGTCATTGAAAAATTCTTATTGAAAAAACTTGAAGAAACATTAAATAATAATTATAATTAATAATAATAATCAGGTTAGTGCTGAGTAAAAGAGTAAGTAGTGTTTGTAAAAGCACAATGAGAGAGGATTAAAATAAATGATTTTTGTATCTAAAACAACATCTAACATAAAGCTAGTATCTTTATACAAAGCACATGTATACATTAACTATGATCAGCTGCACTCTGTCATAATTGAGAGAAGCTGACATACAACAATAAGCAATTTGAAGCAGTTAAATTCTATTTTTAAACTACATTAACGAATTGAAAGTAGATGAGCGATTTTTGGCCGAATTTGGAGGTAAGAATTTGAATATTTGTGGCTTGGGTGTTGATGAAAATGGCTTTTTTAAAACTTATTAAAACACATCTACAAAGTCAATCCAAGCATTTAATCAAAAAAGGAAGTAGTTTAGAGTTTGTTTTGGAAAAAGATGAGGTGAAAGAAGCTTTTAATTTTTTTATAATTTTAAGTTTTTTTTCTGATTTCTTTAAAACAAATCTTGTAATGTAAGCGCAATATGTTTCTAAAATGTAGATTCGAGTGATAAGTGATAAGTGAAGAGTATCAACTAAATTTAAAAAATAATTTAAAGATTTCAAATATTTAAAATTCAAACTAAAACTTGGAAATTTAAAATGCTTAATTTTGCACATCAATCATGATTCTCCTTCTCATTCACATGTCACACGAAGATTAAAATTATTCTATTCTAATTTCTATTGAAAGATTGAATCTGTAATAATGAGCCAATGAGAATGCGCTTTTGATTTGTTTATTCTTGTCAATTATTTTTCTAATTTTTCATTAAATATTTTTTTATGAAAATTGTTTTGTTCTTTGTGGCAAAATAAATTGCAGTTCTTACTTCTTTCTTCTTTTTCTTGCGGCCAAAACCGGTCTGGAAAAGAAATATTTATACATAAAAATTGTTCAGGAAGTTGTTCTTATTTTTTTTTTTGCTTGTTGTATTAGGATAATAATTTTTTTCTCAAGAGCAATAAAAATAAAAATAAAAAAGGTATAGATAAAGATAGTATAGATGTAGATATAATATAAATGTATGTATGAGGGGGTTAAGATATTCTTTACAACATGTAGGAGGATAATGCACATAACTGAGGTATTTTTGTTTATAAAATAACAAATGGATAAACGAAATCGCAACTTTATTTTTGCCACTATTGGGACTTTACACTAAACAATTCAATTCGTTGATCCGATTTTATTTGTTGGATCAAATTTCACTTATCCATTGTTGTTCTTAATGGGAATGAATTTTAGTTCTTTCTTTTGTATGTGACAATAAATGAACCGAATGGATTTACACAAAGAAATATGTTTGGATTTATGAAATGATATGAAACTTCATTCTAGGGTTCTCACATTTTCACGGATTTTTGGATTGTTTGAATGTTTTGAGATTTATCTCATCATTTTTTATTCAAAAATATACAATAAGGCACATTCCTGTGCTGATTATCATTCCAACAGTTGAAATATTAAAATTTTGTCCAAACATTCCAAAAATCCGACATAGTCACCAAATATCAATGACTATCTCAAACATCACAATTTTATTTCTTTTAATTCAAACCAAAACAACTTAAATAACAAAAATGAAATGCTTAAGCCTCAATCAAAAAAATAAACTTTCGACAAAGAAACATTTTTCATCTTATTACATTCAATACAAATAAAAGATTCGGATTAAAAAATTATTTTTTTAATTAGGGATAATTTTATAAGAAGCACAAAAAATAATGAAAAGAAAACTCATTTAGCCATCAGCCATCAATATTGATGACAAAAGCTTAAAAACATTAAATTTCAATTTACAATTTTTCTTATTATTTTCAATATACTTTTTACAGTAGGAAAATAAATTATGAGAATAAAATAAGATATTGAATAGAAAAAAATATATTTTATCGATATAAACATTAAAGCATGATTCTTTTCTTCGTAGAAATGTTGATTAGTTATATTGAGTAATTTCTGTTCCTGTTAATTAATATAGTAATAGTATCCTTGGTAATTTTCCACGGAAGGTTATAATTTTCTTAAATTATGTAATGAGTGAAGCTTGTTAAGTGGCTGATTTTTTTAAAGATTTAAATTAAATAAGTTTAATTTGGTTCAATAAATTGTTTTATAAATATTTAAAAAGCTTAAGCTTAAGAATTGTAATACAATTGTTATAAGCTACTTAAGGTATTATTTAGAATTTAATCGGAATATCCTTGCATCTTTAAACACCAAACAACCCCAACCCTCTCAATAGTTTTTCCTTTCTTAATTCTTTTAATATTTAAATTAAGTTTTGAATTTGAACAAATAATGAGCTATAATATCGAGTTCCCATATACATGATTCATTTCCCAAATCATCATGGGAACCAGCATAAGGTATCGTTTCTGAAACTTTATTTAATAAGAAATGAACAAAATGATTTTAAAGTTGAAAATCTGTAATTGATATTTAGTGGAATTAAATACAAAAACATTCTGGTGGTCTTGGTAATTAATTAAAACTTTATCACCTTATCATTAGTTCTAGGCATGCTCGTTTTAATTTACAAGAAATTAGGCTAATTGAATCTCAGCACATATTATTTACAGCTTATTAAAAGAAAATTCTTAAATCTTTGAATGACCTTGTTTGGTCTACAAGGGAAAATTAATAATTGTAGGCATTTTTTTCAGCTTTTTCGAAAATTTTTGCCAATCACCATAATAAAAACAATGCGAACAGATTGTAGACCATAATTATAATTACGTTTTCCCATAAAACTTCTTATTATTTTGCAAATGTAAGGCATTAGAGAGACCTAATTTCCTCCTTTTAAAGTTTTTTTTAAAACAACTTTCTTGAGTAAAAAGTTTGTGTATTTAATTCACGTTAAAAAAAATGCAAAGAGAAATGTACAAAAGGAAGGAAAAAGTTTACATGGAAAATGTAAATTACAGCACTTGTGACCCAATTTCATGGGAGCGCTAGCAGTAAGTAATTTCACACAATATTTAAATGTGAATGTAGTATAGGAAAGCCTTTGTGAGAGTGTTCTAAAAATTGAAACTGTAAATTGTTAAATTTATTATCTTTTAAAATAATTTTTGATCTCAAAAACTCGTAAAATTTGTTATTTTTTGGTTTATGTCAAAATCAAGTTTTATCTCAAAAATATTATTGCCCCCAAGCTACGCGACCAATTCATCGTAGTTCGGTCCAAATCAAGTTTCTTTTACTAGGAAAAATTAATATATGTAAATTAATGTTGAGAAAGTCAGAACAGAAAACTTTCATTCCAAGTCGCAAAAAGAGATTGGCCTTAAATTATGTAAAGCTGTCTGTCACAAAAAAATGAAATAAATTCTCATCAATAATGAGAGAAAAAGAGAGTGTAATTGTCTAGGTAGCTGCTGTTTATTATGGCGCCCTCTCAGCAGTTTATCAAACTTAATAACATAAATAAAATTTAATTTGTGCAGTGAGCATTTCAAAAATCCATTAGTCCTTTTTGTCATAGACATTTCAATGAATTTCTCCCTCTCATTCTCTTTATGTTCCACATTTTATGCTGCTGAAATATTTATATATGTTCGTGTATGAGTGTTCAAGGGGATATGAAAAATAAAGAAAATTAAAGTCAATGTTGAGACTTTTCAGGCACAAAACAGAAGGAGAGAAGCAACATCAAGGATTTGACATAAAATTGCTTAAGGTATCATCATGGGAAAAATGAGTTGGCGTTAAAAGATTTTTGTGACAAAGGTCTGAGATTTTGAAGTTAAGTTGAAGGAAGTAAGAGTTTTATCTTTTAAAAATTAAACAAGTCTTAAATTAATTTCTGGATCTGTTTAAGCTCCAATAAATTAGCTCCAATAACAATCTAAACTTATTGCATTCTTAAGAACCCCAATGGCCAGAAAAATTACATTTAATCTTATTAACTTCTTGAAGTATCACACTTGATATATGATGCTTCATTAACCCACTTTTCTGTGTCATAAATAAACATAACAAGCATCCCATTTTACACGATAAAGCTAAAAAGGTAAACGATGACCCAAAAAAGTAACCAAAGTTCTTTTTTTTTTTCAAAAAAAAAATCCAATTCAGAACCAAAAATCTATCACACAAAGGAACACTTCTTTTGGCACTTTTGCTGTAAAATGTAGAGCAATTTATCACAATCTTCCTTTATTGCTTTCACTTCAACATTTTTACACGGCATGAGATTTTTTTAAGTGATTTCTCATCAAAAAAAGGAGAAATAGTACAGAATAAACCATGCTGGATATGAGAAACAGAAAGAATAAAAAATAAAAAATGAAAAAATCATCGAACATAAAAGAAGCTTTATTTCCTTTCGACTATAAACTTCTCTTCAGTTTCTGATTCCTAGTTTTGTAACCATAAACCAACAATGCTTAGTAAATTATGTACATAGCGGAGTATTGCAGGATATAGGAGGAATTTAGGGCAGTAAAATCATTCAACAAAACAATAGCTATGCTGAACGTTATGTACAAAAGTTCTCTTTTTTCACATGTAAAACAAAATAAACATGAATGAATGTATACGGCACTATGTATGCAGATCCCGTAGGAAAGCTGCTTGCATTTGTTGTTTGGCCTTTTTGAATGGATGGATAGGTAAAAAAATGGAATTTAGAAGGAGACAGAATGATAGAGAAACATTTAGTAGAATCAAAGAATATAGGGCAAACAGCAGTAGCATCAGCATAGAGTGTAACTAATATGATACTTTTAGTTTTTAATTATTTTTAAAAAATAAAAAATGCATTAGGACGACGAAGTTTTGTTAAATATTTTTTTTTTTGTAAAATGACAGGATGTGGCTATGGTGGAAGCTAAAATTGGGAATAAATTATCCTATATCATAGCTAGCAGTGGTTCTCAAACTGTTGAGACTGCGACACAACAATCTTTTTAGCTAGCACAAATTCGATGCTTCACATCTAAAAGATTTGGCAAAACAGAAGTGTGTCATAGATCGGAATTTGAGAAGCACTGTTAGAGCTACATAAAAAATGCTCAAATCAATTTTAATTGACTGAAAAAAAAATTGTTTTTAATAAGAAATAAATAAGAATCTATAAAGATATTCAAAAATTTCACACCGTAACCACATCCTACTAAAATAAAATCAATATCCTGATCCTATATTATATCAATTTCAAACAATCCAAAATGAATACTTGTATTTGAGTTGCAAAAGTATTTCCCGATTTTATGGATAAAGGATATTAAAAGATCAAAAAAGCAACAGAAAAAATATATTTTGAATATTAAAAAAGTTTTTGTACATAAAGTTATGTATGTACAGTACATACATGTGCTACATAATATTTTGTACAGAATTTGTTTATGAATTATTAATCTGTTTGTTCATATGCCCTTATTCTATATTTTCAACCTTTCCTCGAAATTCCCCATATTAACTTTTCGTCTTGTTACTCATTTTTTGTTTCTTAATAGCAGCCGCTTTATAACTTTCAGTTCGTTCTTTGATAATTCAAAAATTAGCTATTGAAAGATCATGAATTTTTGGTTTAATTCTTTTTTTGTTGTAGGATGTTTTAGGAGAGAATTCATACCAAAATATTGGCTTAAAATTATAATTTTTTTGTTGAAAAAAATGATCATTATTTTAAATAAAATTGATTCTTGTCTTGTATTGTAATTTATTTGAAGAACATGAACCGCTAGGTGCGAACTTGATGAGAAGTTTAAAATTAGATTTTTTGCAGAACAAATTATTTTAAATCATAGACATTAATTAATAAGACCTTTTTTTCATTTTTATCTTGTACAAATCAGAGCTAATACTTTGATGCTTTACGACTTAAAGTTTAATAAGCTCTGACTTAGTAGGACTTAGCAACAATAGACATTATATCAAGTTGACTTTTCAATTGACGTCACTTCTACAACAAAGCCATACATCTAATAGTTATTTCAATTAAAGTCCATAAATCTTCTGATTAGCTCATCGGAGAGTTCACACCCATAGTTTGATAGGAAGTTAGACCAATAAACCAACATGAATATTGTATAGAAGAGATTAACATAAATGAATTTAATTATTCCATTGCGATAAATTCCACTTAACATACAATTTATATAAAGAGAAATTAATTTGACTATAATAATTATGAATGTTTTGTATCATGAGCAATTTTTTTTAAAAATAGATAAAATATAATAATTATTCATTAACATCAGTCAACAGAGATGAAAACTGAACTGAAGTGACGAAGGGGGGAGAAGGCGAAAGTTGATATTAAAATGTTATTTTTTTTTTTTTTTGGTGGTGGGGAACAAAAAAAAGAAATTAATAAAAATGTCGTCTTACCTCTCCCTCAGCTCTCCTCTTTTCTAATTCTTTCTGTTTTTCTAATTCCTCAGCAATGCGAGCTTCAATTGCCAATAGTGATTCGCGGGTGAAGGGACGGAACAAGCTACGTTCTTCCTCGAGTAACGAACTGGAGTCGTCGGACATTGTCTATAACAGCCAGCGATGAGAGCCTCAGTTATTCTAAGGCCTTTAATATATTTTTCGTTTTCTGTCAGCATAAAAGGTTAAAAATTAGCAATTTAAATGTTAAAGATTAAAATTTACATAATCCTACACACACACGCAAGTACCTGCTAACAATGATGTAATAGTAATGGGCCACTAAGTAGATCCGCACTCTGTGCGGTTTTTCTAAGGCTCGGGCCCCTCGAGCTTATTGATGGGACGGCAATGGACCGTCCTTTCGAACTAATAGGAAACAGGATCGCAGCGAGAATCGCGGCTACACGACTGGGGCACAGAACATTCCGTGAATCGAAATTTCTCATGACCGCCCTTAAAATTTGAATATTTTTGAATATTTACTATTTCATTACTTTTTTTTGCAACTTACTTTGAATGTGTGTTAAAGCACTTTTGATATAAAAATTATAGATGCGATAGTTGTATGCGTGATGGCCTCACTGTGTACAACACTGACCATCCACGCATTATAGCAAGCGATTTTCTGTAAATAAAAGTAAAGAAAGAAACATTCATTTAATTGGTTTTGACAATCGATTATGAATATTAACTTTAGTATTACTAATGATGCGACTATAAATAACAATTCATACAGAGCAATTTGTTTGTTTTGGATATGCTTTTATAGCTCTTTGTTATGGCTGTTTTTTTTTTTGAACTGAAATATCAAGGTTATTATTCCATTCAAGGGATGCTTGGCTTGAAAGAAAAATTTGATAATATTAAAATATTAAATTTATGGCTCAGCCTAGACATATTTTTAACTTTTTTCCCATTTTCTATAAAGTTCAAATGAGTATCTAAGCCAGATCTACGTTAGATCTAAAGCTTGATCAAACCATTAATTTTTATACAAAAAATAATAAATTTAAAATTCTTTTTTTTTTGTATTTTAAAAGTTTAAATCGTATTCCTAATTAATGCGAACCTTTAAAACTTTTTCTATCTAATGGTTACTTGGCACCTCATCCCATAACGTAGAAGAACAAACTTTGAAAGAATTTTTTCATTGAATTTTCGTTCATTCAATAATTCATAATTTACGTCATCATGATTTTTTCTTTTTACCCCATCAACATTGCAGAATAGCTTGTTATTTTATTGAAGCAATGTTTTTCTAACAGTGAGCATGCTTTTTTGTGGTTATTGGTTAGTGACTCTAGGGCTAATGTTTATATTTTTGTAATTTTTCTCGTAAATAGATTTTTGCTCTGTTATTGTTGTTTTTGTGTTGTAGAAATTGGGAATATCATTAGGGGAGATTCTCTTATTAGGTAACAAATAAAAAATACAACGACCTTTTAGATCCTCCTACTTCATCACATTAAAAAATTTGAAAAAATTCTTTTCTTTAAGCAGTAACAAAATGAGTGAACGACCAGTTGGGAGAAATTGACTTCAATATTTGTTGTTTTTAAAACATGCATGATTGCAAAATAATTTTCTGATGGCTACAATGGCTAGTCGTGGGTGTTTTGGTAACAACAAAATATTCATTATTTAAAGTTAATTGGCGTGTTCTGTGCGGTTTTCAGTGTGATTCTGTAAAATTTTCTAAAACATTATCCATAACTGTTTAGATGGTAATTGTGATTTAACATATTTTTAAAATTTTTATGGTCACTCCTAATTGTAAAAATTTGAAAAACTTGGTGTTAAATTTGGATATTTTAAATTGACTCATTTTTGTCAAAAATATAAGAATCTTCGATTTATTAAGATTCTATTTGTTTTCTGGACATAAGCCATTTAAAACATTTAAAATGATTCTTATAGTATTTCAAATTCATAAGCTGACCTAGCTGCGCACGCTATTAATAACAATCCATGAACTTTATCTTTCAACTATTTAAAAACGGTAATTCATCGAAACATTCTATAACAAATCTTTTTTACAAGCATTTGCAACATGAACATTCATGCAAACTTCCAGTTACGTAACAACATGCTAAATTTAATTTTATCACAACTTCAAGTTCCATTTTGTTGCCACCATAGCTTTCATATTATAATTGATTGGACGTCTATATTATAATGACTTTTTTGTGTCTATACATAGCACCAAACTGTGTTATGCCGAAACTAAATTATTTAAGAGTCTTTTCACATCTATATAGGTGTACACCGACCAAACAAAAATATTATTTATTTTATAAAGGCGGCAGTGAAATAACATCATCAGCAAATAATTATTAATGTGTTCGGAACAGTTCTTCTTATTGCTTATATTCCTTTTCTTGAATGTGATGTGATGTGGTATGACAGCGAATAGATTAATTGATGGAACATTAACAGCTTTTAAATAAACATGCATACAATTAGAATCAACATTAATTTCATTTCCATGTCTTTCTCTCTTGCCTGGTATATGCCTCGTTCTGCTTCTATATATCGATTGGGGAACATTGTAAGTCGAATGGAATGAAATTACTTATTAGAAATTCATGTCATGCATTTTTCATATATCTAAGCCAGCCATAGGACGAACAAGCTAGCTGAAGTGAGCGAGAAAATTTATTTTATTTGTATAGAGACAAAGGGATGGGCAATAATGAGTAAAGTTTGTTGAATATTAAATTTAAAGTCTATAAAAATTTTTGTTCTCACTTTAATAATTTCGATGAAATAAGCTCAATAACTGAAGAAACTACTTAAATAAATCTTTTTAAACCTGAAAAATTTTCTTAATTTTTAAAGTTTTGTCACATTTTTTTTAAAAATTTTAAAACCTATATTTTCATCATTTTTAAAAAATCAAACATTCCTCCCTTCGGAAATTGAATGTGTAAGAGAGCGAACAAATTATTATATATTTCTAGTGCATTAGCATTCAACATCGCTTTCAAGCACGAAAGCAGAAAAGGAATTTTTCTACAATTCATTTTTATTGGTTGCATATGTGCTCCTTTCAGAGCAGGGCTCCTTTATAATTTTTCATGGGATTTTTCTCTCACTTGCTCACTATTTTCTGTAAATTTATGTTTTGTATCTCTGGACGGCTTTATACATTAATTTAATGCATTGCAATATTTATTATGAGATGATTTTGCAGAAATTTTGATCCGATATTTTAAAATGCTATAAAAAATCCAGAAACACAAGAAAATCCTTTTTTACTTCTTAATCTGTATTCTCTTTAAGAGTTCTAGACATTGTTAAGTTAAAGATTCAGTGCAGCACTAAAATTAACACAATTCATCATCATCTTCTATTTCAATCTAACACTGTTCATGGATGAAATACTTAAGAAACAACTTTACACTTTCATTTCTGTAACTTTACGATGAGAAACTCTTGAATTATAAAAGAGTTGGATGGTTAAATTCTTGGAATTAATACACACATAACATGACATTTGATTGAGTTCTTCTGCTTTGAACTTGATACTTTGGTAAATGACTCATTTTATCCTGAATTCTTTTTAGTTCAGAGATATAATTGCAAATGCTTGCATGTTTGAATGTCATTCTATAAGTGATTATGAAGGAAATGATTCATCCCAAAAATAGAAATCGTGTAACAAATTCTAAAAAAATCCAACTCAATTGATATCATTTTTAGGAAATCTTGTTGGATGTTTTAATCCTAATGGAATAAAACATTGTAATAAATTTTCAATAGAAAAACCCCATTCATAACCCTAGGGAAAACAAGCATTGAAAAATTGAAAATACAGAAAGAAACCGAGAAAAAGGAATGACGAAAGATATTTCCTGCTTCCTGACAGACGTTTTCCTCATCTTTCCGCGGTTGTCATTCTTAACTTTTTTTTTCTCATACAATTATTTTTAATATCAGTGTTGATGACGTGCTACTCTATGCTACATGCCTTTTACATGATATTATTTTTCTTTTTCTTCAATCACACAAGTAATTGACTGTTTACATGGATAATTTGCACTTAATATAAATCTGCATTGAGCCACAAGTACATACATAATATGTAATCATCGTTAAAAATCCTTCTTATAAGTACGCATTATATCTTATGAAAAAGAAGTGAAATCAATGAAATTGGCAAATTTCTCATCTCCTTTAATGGATATTTTGACCTAATTTCTGATATACAATTTTTCTTTTCTCTCATCCTTTTACTCTTGACTCACACAATAATGTCAAAATGATGCGATTTGGTAGCGCAATTTTTCTTAAAAGTCAAGGTGATTGTTATTGGAATGTTTATTGTGACTTATGTAGATTTGAGGACTAATTTCTGGGGGATTGTTTGTATATTTTGTAACGAATAAGGGAAGAAGGAGTGACTAAGTTTGGTTATATTAAAATTAAAACGACTCCTTACGAACCTAAAACAACCTGTTCTCTACTATCTAAAATCGCATCAATAATAGTGACTGCCAAAAAGTTCATCCAACAGGATTTTCTCAGTAAAAAATGCGTTATATGAACTAGTTTTATATTGACTCTTGAACTAGTACTATCCCTTCAATGCAGTCAAGTCAAGGACTTTTGACTTCTAAAAGCAAAAATGATAAATGTATCGTCATCATCATCACATTTTCCTTTACACAATCATAATCGTAAAAAATTTCTTTTACTTATTTTTTTTTCTAAGTGAAACATTCAAAGACATTATGAAAGGGAATGTTCACATTATTGAGGATCCTTTGAGTCAAATAAGTTAGCGAGAATTGAGAGTTAAAGAGAGTGTGCATGGAGAGAGAAAAAAAAATAAAGTTTATCGATTTTGTACTTTTTTTAGGCGCACAAGAGAAGGGAAAAAAAGAGAGCAGAAAAATTTTACCGCATCGCGTGTTTCCAATATTTTTTGCAGTGACTTAATTACTAGTAGCGGGAAATTGGGTATCAAGTATCACTTGCTATGTATATTCACTTAGAATACGATTATGATAATGCTTACTGTCTATTTGGGTGGAAAATTCAATTTAATTAACTAGAAAATAAATGAAATTGCTCTGCAGAATTTTATTTTTCAGCACTGCTGTTTTTGATGTGACAATTTTCTAGAGTTGGTCACTTGATGTGATGATACGTATACAAAAACCAAGAAGAAAATTTATATTCTCAAAATTGAATTAAATTGTAATTGAAAACTTAATCACTCAATTCCAGCACATCAAGCATAAGCAAAAAGTTACCAACTCTAGAAAATTAAAGTCCATAAAAATAATTCAAGTTTCATACTCACAAGGGGTACATGTACGTTGATGTATCAAATATCCAAAAAGCAAAAAATATAACTGGTAAATGTATATGTGTGTATATATGATGAATATTTATGGCTGACAGAGAAACACTGCTGCTGCTACTACTTTATTTCATTCTATCAAAAAAGGGATGGATGTATTTTCTTCTTTTTGCATAAAAATTAATTTTTGCTGGCGACTTTTATTATTTTTACACTTTTTTAATTTTTATTTCCGTTGCATAAAAATTGTTCGAAATGTGAAAAAGTAAAGGACTGAAATGAAAAAAATTTTCACTTTTTTATGGTTTCCTTGTTGCTTTTTAAGGATTTTTTTTATCGGCTTAAGCAAAAAATGTAAAAAATTGTAATCCTTTAATTTTTATTCTTAACTATAAAGCGATGCTATTGAATTATACTGAGGCTCTCACTTTTTGTGTGTATGTGTGTGTTTTTAACTTATTTTTAATTTAGTTTATCACTTTTTTTACACTAATGTTATCAGTTTTATGTTGATTTTTTTTTGATTTATTTTTATTATTCACTATATCCTATGTAATATGTAATGTTGCTGTTGGGATAAAAGATGATTAGATTCAATTAGATTTGTAATCAATTTTATTTAAAATTAATTTTTGAAGGAACATTTTCATGACATTTTTTATTCATCAACACTTCACTTTTCGATTCGTTTTTCATCACGTGTATGTGTATAGCTTATGTTTATTGATTTAGAACTGCCCTGACTAAGCATAAGGTTAAGATTCCATTTAAAAATTAGAAAATATTTCTACATGACCTGCAATGTCTTAACTTTGTATGCTTTTCTATACAGAATGATGCTATTAGATATTATAGCTGGAAAAAGTATGTCTACTTAATTTTATTGTAATTACACTAGACATCATATATGGTACTGAGGTTTCACCCATTTCTTTACTATGGAATAAAATTAATCATTAGAACTTCTTTTTTCATAACATATATCTTTTTCTGTCTAAATATAGGTCATGCATGGTCAGTGCTTCAACCAAACAAATGACTATAACCGCAAAAGACAAATTACTTTGAAATGTATGTTTAAAAAATCTGGCATATTTTTCTGCATGTGAGAAACTTTTTTTGTTGAGTGCTGGACTAAAACGTTTTGTGTAAATTGGAACAGAGTAAAGTCCTTAACTTAAAATGACAATTAACTTTTGGGTTTTTTTTAAACAGTGTCACACAGCTTTAGACTTATCTACATCCTTGTTTGGATGCTGTATCTGTTTTATGAGGATCCTTTACCCAAATCAACTTAATCAACAATTATCAATCGCGATCTTTACGGATCTTTTTATTAATAATCCTTTTGATAACGATAGAAAATATAAACCAAAAAAATCATATTTTGTTTAGATTTATATTAAAAAATAACTTCATAAAATTGCATAAAAAGCCTTAAAATAATTAATACAAAATTAGAAATGAGCATGCAAAGAATAGAGTCATCATCATAGAAGGAAATAATCAACACAAAAATCTATCTGACAATCCAATACGAAATTAACAAGATGTTTGTCTTCTTTTAAACTTTATAATTTACATTTTACTCACTCTGCTCTGAATTCATAAATATACAGAACTGATGTTCCGTATAAAAATTGCAAAAACTTTTTACTATAACCAAATCTATCCAAATAGGGTAATATATATTGTCAAAATTTGATGCATGGTTTGTTTCAGAGTAGAAAAGTTTTAATAATTCTTTAAATTGAAATTTTGAAATATTTTGGAAGTAAATTATCAGAAGAAAAGGTTTTGTTTTGAAGCCGGATGACATTCCAATTGGAGGTTAATTTTTTTATTGATTTTTCAACAGTTTACGAAAACAATAATTTATTAATATCTTTAAAATATCTTTTTTTAAGTTGACATCATGCGAACTAGCATGTTCACTTGAATATCAGTGACACTTCCTTAAAAATGGTTTTTAGGTTTGACAACTCTACTTTTAACATAAAATTCTTTAATTCTAAATCCATTAAGATTTCATTTTGCATAAGCAACTTTTGAATAAAACTTCCATTAAGCAATTAAGTTCCTTAGCAATTTTTTCAATTTATGAAAAAATAATAATTTTTTGCAGGTATAATATCCAAATCAAATACTTCCAGCATAATACTCCACAAAAAAATTATCACTAATTGACATTTGGCTTGCATAACTTTAATTTGAAATTGCAATTCACCGAGTTTGCAATTTTATTGATTTTTTATTTTAAAATCACTGCTTTATTCCACAATAATTTTGTAATAATAAACTGCGAGTTAACTTTACAAATTCGATTCGAAACTATGGAGTGGATTAATTTTTATTTTACCCATTTCATAACTTTTATTGACATTTTATAACTAAAATCTGACTTCACTTCTCAAGTTTCACGTAATTCCATTTTTTATTGAAATTCAAAAAAAAAAATATTTTACATTCTTACAAAAATTATTTTTATTAAAAGCTCTTGAAAAGACCTCAACAAATTTCGTATTCTTCTTCTAACTTCTCCACTTTTTGACACATTATTAATTTTAATAAGTTTCCTAGACAACGAATTTCAACTGTAAATATTATTTTTAAGACACAAAAAAAAACTTTTTTTTATCGTGAAAGAAAAGTCGAAAGAAGAGCAAAGAGAAAATTTTTATTTTTCTTATGACTTTCCGCAACATTTCTCATTTATCCCTGAAACATGACGTCACTTTTACTCATGCGCTAACAGTGCCGTTTTTATGAGTTTCATTCACTGAAAGTTCGATTCGCCAACTTTCGTTTTTTCGTCTCCAAAACGTACAGCATATGTACATGTACAAATAAGGAAAGCTTTAGGACATTGCATTTGTATTGGTGCGTGACAGAAGGAATAAAATTTCTGCTTTTCTTATACATGCATGTTTTATTATTTTTGCCTATTATTTCTATAAAATTTGCCCTTTATTCCATAGAATTTCAACATATCACAATTTTTTTTCTCTTTCCTATTTCCAGCTATAGTTCATTTCACACACATTTTTTTAACATCATAAATATATATTTAATTATAATTTATTTAGCCACGAAATTACGAGCAAAATTATATATCAAATTCTCGTCATTTGAGTTCCTGTTTAGCATGTTTTCTTCATAAAGTTGTGCACTTTATTCGACATTTCGGGAAACATAATGGAAGAGTAGAATCTGAGCTATTAAGCCATATGTAAATTCTAAAAATGCAAAACGAAGTCTTCCATGGTTGAGTTGTAAGCAACAGACCGGAAATCTCGGTCACTATCATTTCTTAGGACGTGGGTTTGATTCTTATTAATTTTATAGAGTTTGGTTTGATATGAAAAGGATTTATAAAATGCCTACGAAAAAAAGAAACAAAAGTGTTCATTCAAACTGAAATGTGGGCCCAAAATCATGTCATTGAATAAATTTGAGGTATTCACAAAATTAAGATGCAGCACAAATTTTTTCAAAGAACTGATTTCCTCATTAATAAAGTTTTGGAATTCCTCTATAATTTTATTGAAGATTTCGTTGAACTCACTCACTCTACATAGCTCTCTAAAACTTATCCAAAAAATAATTTCGTTCCTCATAAATCATTATTAACACAAATCACTAAATGAATGACACTACATGCGCTCTATACGCCTCCATCCACTAGCTTTTATATTTCGTAACATATTTTATTTTATTCACTGTAATTTATATATTTTTTGCTTTCCTCATTATGAATGGAATATGGACTTTTTGTATAGTATTTGTAAAGGAAAATTATCAAGGGTATAATACATATTTTTTCCTTAAATCCTTTTGCATTATGTTTCTTCATATTTTCTTCCTTTTAATACAATAAAAAAGTGCAAATAAAAAAGAAGACAAAATAATGATAATATGCATGAAGAATAAGTTTCGTAGAAGAAAAAAATTGAGCTCAGATGAAGAATAATAGTGAATCCTTATAAAGTGGATTTATTCGAGATAATGGAATTCAAATTAACAAGTTTTAAAAGACTAGGTGTCTGAGCTTCAAGAAATAACAATGCGTATTGTTAAATTGATTTTTATTCAAAAACTTTTATAAAGGAACTCGAAAATTTTTTAATGGTCTAAAGAAGTGCCCAAACTGTGTGCCCTAGAATTTTTTTGAAACTGACACGAGCCGCATGCTGCGTGCGACTTCGGTCATGGCTTAGCCCTCACGTGTACCGTCGCTGAAAAAGTTTGGACAATACTGGTCTACAGATTTAATTTTTAAAGCTTGTTGTCAAAAACTAAACCAACTTTGAAAAAAAAATCATTAAATTTATGAAAATTTGAATCTATTAATTAGATTAAACCACTACTAGATGATATTAGACCCTCGACTCCCTCTTAAAATAAAAATTATAATTGAACGACCCTTTATAAATTCAACCTTACTATTGATCTTGTCAGCCATGATCATAATTTAACTGAAATAAATTAGTACATGAAGGACATCAACAGGAGATACCGAAAATAATAAAGCATGGCACGCATAAAGATGATGGACGTGAGTGTTATCCTGTGCATATACACGTAGACTTGTCATAATAAAAATTAAACTCAACGGCATTAATCCAATTTCATTTTATGAAACTTTTTATATTTTAAAAAATTGACTTGATAACTAAGGTGATGCTGGCAAGAGTTCTTGATAGATTTTGATGGATTATTACTAGGATAAAATTTTCAAAAGGTCAGTTTGGTTAATAGGATGACGTGTAAGAATAACATTTTGACGGATTACTTGAAAAATCGTCGAGCTTTAAATACAGCATTTGCTGCATAAAGCAAATTTAATAAAATAAAACCTATAAAATTGTTTAAAATCAAGCAAATTTACTCGTTACTTTCAAAATATTCAATGCTCAATTTATTCACAAGAATTGAAACTATAAACTTTTAAAAAACTTTTATTATTCTCGCTTTTTTGTTGAGGTTTTTATGGAAACACAAGTCAACTCAATGGCTGCATTGAATAAGAAGCAAATAAAATTAATGACGCTTGAGGCAGTCTTTTAAAAAATTAAAACCAAATGTCACTGAAAGTTTATTTTTTGTGCTGTATAA